TTAATGGCTAGAAAAAGGTGCTTTACTATTAAGTTTATCATCATTCAGAATTTGCAATGCAAAATGTCCCTTTTAACTCACAGGCTGATGCCCTGCACTCATTAAAAGGCTCTACAATAAAGCCAGGAACAGAATTAAGCCTCGTTTGGATATAAGAGATGATTAACTTCAAGCCCTGATGGAGCCATTTGGTAGCTGATCAACTCAGGAGAACATGCTGTAGGGCATACTGGCTCAGAAATTAAAAATCTCAGTTGATACAAAAGGAAACCTTGAATTCGATCAAATAGATCAAAATCCAAAACTGTTATAAAAGTCAAGAATGAAAGACATAAAGGCTCCTCCAACACCCCTTCAGAGCTAGAAATTCACTGTAACCTAGAGACTAGAAGTGCTAGCCGGTTTCTAGAAAATATCACAGAGCTTCCCATTCTGCACGGTAAGATTTGAGAAGCAGGCTTACCTGACACAACAGCATCTCCATTGAGGTAGAGGGCCATGCCCAAGAGCATCATGATGCCTAGCGTGAGGATGTAAGGTCTCCGACGGCCCCACCTGGACTGGCAGTGGTCACTGGCTGATCCCACCACGGGTTGCAGCAGGAATCCCAGCACCGGGCTCAGGAGCCACACCATGCTGTACAGGCTCTTGGGAAGCCCCACGCTGAGCAGGACTGGGGTCACATAAGCCGCCTCCACTGCGTAGCAAAACTCCCGGCCAAACATGGCCATGCTATGCATGATGAGTCTCCCTGTGGGTCTTTTGGGTGGCTCCACAGATCCAAAGGGGCAGTTGTCCGCTAGGGATTGATAAGTGTGAGTGCCAGCCTGCCCATTGTCACCCATAGTCACAGAGTAAAGTGCCTTCCTGCTTGGTCCTCCCGGTTTGTGCTCCAAACTAGATTTGACATGGAGCCTGGCTGAGCGACCGGCAGAGATGGTCAGTCCGGGGGAGGGGCTGGAATTCTTTCATGCCTCTCAGATCACAAGTTATGATGAGAGGGAAAGGGGGTGTGGGTACTGGAAAGCATGACAGAGATTAGCTGCTGTGAGCCTCTGGCTCCTAAGAATGGCTTGTAAAGAGTTCTGCCTTACTCTTTCTCCTCTCTCTCTCTCTCTCTCTCTCTTTCTCTCTCTCTCTCTCTCTCTCTCTCTCTCTCTCTCTCTCTCTCTCTCTCTCTCTCTCTCTCTCTCTCTCCCCCCCTCTCTCTGTCCTTCCTGTTCCACCCTCTGTATTATCCATGATCACACACATAGCTTTGAAATTTTAAAAAAGTCTTATTGCACTTGGATTCAATGAAAATATAAATACTATTTTACAAACTTTTTAACATGCAGGTATTTTCTTTTCCTGACAAGTTTTCTACACACCCAGCTCTGAAGCCAAATAACTACATCTAAAATGGAAGGTCTTATCCTTCCTAAATCATTTGCTGTCACATAGCACTCACAGTTTCTCATTTTCCCTCATTGCACTTAATGAATTTTGCAATTAAGACAGTTCTGTTTGTTTGGTATCCTTCGCTAATTAGCTTCTGAGTTCCTTAAGAGTAAAGATCAGGTCTATTTTTTTATTATTGTATCTCTAGAATAATACATGGCTCCTTGTATATCTTCAATAAATATTTACTAAAGGAATTATTTAATGAATAAATACATTTTCTAGTGCCCATCAACTGCCTAATTTGTTCACATCTAGTCTCTCCAGTGCTTTGCATCTTATGGGACTACATTTCCCAGGTTCTCTTGCTCCTTGACTTCCAGGTATAATTAATAGGAGGCATCAGAGAGAAAGGAGTAAGAGGGGAATGGTGAGCAGGTTTCTTTAGCATGAAGTACATTTGGCAGTGGCTGTGTTTCCTCTATGGGATCATCACCCAGCAGGCAACCTTGGCTTCAGGGTCCCAGTAACATTCCTCTTGTTCTGAGTTTCCTCTGGACTGCCTCACTATCTCTGCTCCTTTTACCAGTATAATTCTCTAGAGGGTTTCCTCTATTTTAAAGGCTTCAACAGAGTCACATATTCCTAGCAGGACCTTGAGCTATATGAAAAGTTTTGACAAGAGAAATATGATCTTACAGAGAAAAGCCTTAAACTGACTTGAGCATAACTTTAAGTCAGAATAGGAAGGGAGAAAGGAAGGAAGGAAGGGAGGGAAGGAAGGAGAGAAGAAGGAAAAGCAGTGATACCAGAAGAGAAGACAGGAAAAGTAATTCCAGAAGACAGGTAGGGGAACTAGGAAGGAATCCAGGGACCTGAAGGAAAGCAACCAAGGCAGTAGACAAGAGTGAGTGGATCCAAAGTGGTGAGCTGGAACTCCTAGAACTTCACCACTGAGATTTACTTGTTTAAAAATACTAAATGCCAGGCTGGGAAGGTGGCTCAGTGGTGGAGCGCTTGCCTTGCACGCATGAGGCCCTGGGTTCGATTCCTTAGCACCACATAAGCAAAAAGAAAACATCCAGAAGTGGCGCTGTGGCTCAAGTGGTAGAGCGCTAGCCTTGAGCTGAAGAGCTGAGGGACAACGCCCAGGCCCAGAGTTCAGGCCCCACAACGGACCCAAAAAAAAAAAAATTCAATAAAAATGCTAAGTGTCCATTATGGGTCTGGCCACTATTTTAGAGATTTAGCAATGAATACAATGTCCTAAGTCCTTCAGAAGCTCTCAATTCTCTTGTGTGTTAAGGTTGAGGCTGAGGTTTCAATATGTTAATAGGGATAGACAGGGTGGAGAAAAGTCAAACAGGATAAGGGAACATCCTCACTGTGGTAAGAAGGCTGCATCTCAGACAGGGTCAGGAAAGAACTCTCCTTGGGGTGCTGTTAGCATAGGGGCCAAAGTGAAGTGACACATCCTTGAATTCAACTCAGTATTATAAAAACAAACAAAAGGTATTTGGGGCTAAAGTACTGCGCTTCTAGAAAACAAATATTCAGAGAGCTCTGAAGAAAATAGATATCATACAGGGATTTTCATGATAAGGAAATCCCCACCCATTCACAAAGCAAATTCCTCAAGTGACAGGAAAAGAGAAAATTATGCAGAGGCTATCTTCACTAAGCTGTACATCAATGGGCTTCAAAATTGATAAGATGTTAATGGCTTTTCAGGCCTTGGCCCAGGTCCAAGGCTCACCTTTTCTCATACCTTGTTAAGAGTTTACATTTCCAGGCAGCAACCTGATACATTCCTAGGCACTGTACCTTCAATGTCTCCTCACTCTATTTTGCCTTCAATGTCACCTCACTCTATTTTGAAATGCTCTTTAAAACTTGGGAGCTCAAGAAACTAACCCCTCCCAAACGTAATACACTAATTACTAAATGGGCAAGGGAGCTAAGAAGAGACTTCTCAGTAGAAGAGGTAAGAATGGCAAAGGAACCCACGAGGAAATATTCATCATCCCTGGACATAAAGGAACTGCAAATCAAAACAACCCTGAGATACCATCTTGCCCATTAGATTAGCCAACATTTTGAATTCTAACAACAACAAATGCTGGTGGGGATGGGGTAGAAAGGAACGCCTACTGCACTGCTGGTGGGAATGTAAACTAGTTACAATAACTTTGAAAAGCAGTGTGGAGGTTTCTCAAAAAACTAAACATAGAACTTCCCTACAACCCAGTCATACCATTCCTAGGCATCTACCCTGAACATCATGAGCCAGGATATGATAAGGACACCTGCATATCCATGTTCATCGCGGCATTGTTCACAATAGCCAAGATATGGAAACAATCCATATGCCCTACAATAGATGACTAGATCCAAAAAAAAATGTGGTACCTATATACAATGGATTCCATTAGAAAGAATAAAATGTCATTTATAGGGAAATGGATGGAACTAGAACATATCGTATTAAGGTAAGCCAACGTCAGAGAGACTAATGGGGCATATTCTCCCTGATATGTAGAAATTAGATCTAAAAGGCACTAGGATATGACAAAATACACAGAATTCCAGATACTCACATACAGTAAGACCAAAAGAGGATAGTCTTAGGAGAGAATCACAAAGGTGCAATACTGAAGCGTATCCTCTTATCTATATAAAATAATGTACATACTGAAGTGAACTCTAAAGATATGGAACACGGGACTTTTTTCTCAATTTGTTTTATTGAATCTGTATTATTTACCTTATATGCAGTTATTTACATCCACATCTGAGGGAGGATGGGGGAGGCACAGAATCAGATGAAAAGCGCAGCAGGGGAGCACTCTGGCTGAAAGGGAGCTATCTAACTCGCGGGTGGAGATGGGACAGAGGGAATGGGAGAGAATGAGGGAACAGATGACACTATGTGAAAGGAAATGTCCTTACTTCCCAATGTATGTAAAGGTAACCCCACTGTTTATCACCTCCAAAATGACAGTAAATTGAAAAAAAAATTGTTGCCTTGCTCTACCCCACCCCATTGGGCTTGAGGTCAGGGGAGGGGAGTGGACATACCTATAATCCCAGCTCTGGGAGGCTAAGGTAGAAGGATCATGAGTTTGAGGCCAGTCTGAGTTGCATAGCAAGATACTGTCTCAAAAAATAAAAATAAGGCTTAAAAAAGCAAGTTGTCGTTTAGCGTGATTTTCACTTGATTAAACGGAGAGACTTCCAGGGCAGAGGGAGAGCTGATGAAAATGGGAGGAGGAGTGGGAGAGTAGGTAGACAGACCCAAGCAGACTTCCAAATGGATGATGGGACAGCTCACTGAGGAAGAAAAAGTTCAGTACAGCAGGAAAGAACAGGCCAACAAGCCCCACTAGATAGAATCCAGCACTCAGTAGAGCATTCTAGGGAAAAAGGTTTCTGGAAGAAACCTCCAGAACATTTACTAACATTCAAATGCTCTGATACTAACAGAATGATTTCCTTCTGAAACTAACGGGGTCAAACTTTTCTAAGGGCAAGCATTTGGATAAACAGTAGAGCTACAAATATTCCAATGCATCAGAAAATGCTATTTAAATATGCAAAGAAAGCTTTCTCGAAAACCACTGTAAACTTAAAAGCACAGTTTACTTTCAGAAGATAGAGGCTTTATTTAATAGAAATGTGTTATACTAATTATTTTAAACTATGTTATAAGCATTTTAATATCAACAAATATGCTTTATCAAGTAAAAGTGAAGGCAGGAAACCTGACACAAATTAATATGAAGTGCATAAAATGTTTTAAAGCATGCTGGAGGCATGGTTCAAGTGATGAGTGCCTGCCTAACAAATGAGGCCCTAAATTCAAACACCAATGTTGCAAAAATAAATGTTTAACCCTAAATTACTGATAATCCTTCTTAGAATGCAATCATGAGTGTAGAATTAGTCACCAGTTGTTCCTGGATTACAATAATTCATCAGTTCATTACTTTTCTTCCATATTTCCATACATACAATTATATGTGTAAATGTGACATTCAAATTCACTTTAGTGCCTACAAGTTGGAGTTTAGTTTTATCTTCTTATTTTCAATGATTCTATCTGCGTTGAGCTGATCGATCTCTTCCTGGTTGAATCCAAATTCTTTGAGTACCTCTTCAGTATGTTCTCCTACCAAAGGATCCCTTTTGGCAGAAGGGACAGCTGGGGTTCTGGACAGCAGAGGTGCAGGACCAGGACTCACATGCTTCTCCTCGTTGGTGATGAATGAACCGCGTCCTTTGTTGTGACTGTGATGGGTGACCTCATCAAAGGTCAGCACAGGGGTCACACATGCATCTATGCCATCAAAGATCTTACACCATTCTTCTTTGGTCTTCTTTGCAAATGCCTCTGCAAATTTCTTTTTCATTTCTGGCCAATCAGTTGTACTCATCTGGGGGGGAAGTTCATCAGACTTTAGACCAAGTCCTGAGAGGGAAAAATACAGTTTTTTACGTTATTATGCTTTGGTGCGGGAAGGAGTGACACTGTCCAAAAAGATATGTACTCATTGCCTGGTTTTTGTAACTGTAACCCATGTAGATCACCTTTATAATAACAATATATTTTTTAAGTCTGTAATTTAAAAAATTATGATTTGGGTAGAGGGATATTCAATGTAAATGAATTTTGGGCTTGCCATTGTATCCAAAATAAAATGTTCTGTAGGGTTTCTCAAATTAGTAGAAAAAAATTATGGTCAATTTGAAGTTGGAACCAATGGCCGAAAGAGCACAAGTGATGGTGGTGGCCACAGTGACTTGAAACCAGCTGTGTCACTGTCATGTGCTATTTATTGACATTTCTGCAAAAGTAGTCTGTTTTCAATGGCCTAGTTTCCCAGAAATTGATTTCTCTTCTGTAAGATTTTCACAAATAAAATTTTCTCAGATAGAATTATCTGTCTTATTGAATTAAAATCACTCCACCTTTTATATAATGTACCCAAGACCTATAAAAAAATACAAATTGAGCAATTTTACACATGACTATCTCAGCCAAGATAAATGATTAAATTCAAGATTGGTATCCCTAAGTAATATCCCTTGCACTTTTTGTTGGTGAACTAAGAGCCTGGCAGGCTGTGTAGTAGTAAAGTACAGGTAGGCAGCTGAGACTAAGATTTTTAGACTTTATTCTGCATGAAAGCTTATCCATATAACTATCATTTTTGTTGCCAATCAGTACTCAATATGTTACATAAACAGCTCATTATAAAATGTTTTCGGATTATTTTTCCTGCCTGGAGTCTGATGTAAATGATCTGAGCATGTCTATCTTCCTGAATTTAATTTTTTGATAAGAGAGTAATGTCACATAGAATAATTTCCTCAAGTTTTATTCAGATTGCTTCATGTCACAATTTCCTTCCTTATTAAAACTGCTTAATGTTCCATTTCATGTATATACCATTTTGTTTATCCATTTATCTGTCAATGAACTCTTAAATTGCTTCTGCTTCTTGACTATTGTGAATGCTCCCATGAATTCAGGCTTACAATTATCTGTTAGAGTCCCTGATTTTAATCCTTTTGATTATATGCCCAGAAGCAGAATCCTTGGATCACATAGTGATTCTACATATCGTTTTTGAGGTACTGTCATATCATTTTCTACGGCAGTTGTGAGACCTTATATCCTACCAATAACACAGATGTTTCCAATTCTCTACAACCTTGCCAATATTTGTTATATTGTATATTTTTAATAATATTTTTAAAAATTGTATTGTCATGGTAATGTACAGTTACATATGTAAGGTAGTGAGTAGATTTCTTGTCAAACTTGTTACCCCTTCCCTCATTTTCCTCCCACTTTCCCAACATATTCTGTTCATTTCCAACATATTGTCTTGTGAGCATCACTGTTGCATTGCTTTGCACTCTGTCCTTTGTCTCACTATTTGGTTGTCTCCTTTCCAGATAAATATAATACAATACTCTGGGTACCAAAATCAAATACAGTGACAACAGGGGATAAACCACAGGAAAAAGAAAAGAAAAAACACAAAAGAAAAAAGAAATTAGATAATACATTAAATTTTGAATTAAAAAAAAACTTTTCAAAGTTTCCAATTGTTTACTTGATTGCACTACAAATCTTAATCCTCAATCATCACAAGTTCTGTTTACAGATTCATTTGCTCCACAAAACAGCAGCCACACAGTACAGTGAAGTTTGTATCTTTTTAAAAACTTGTGTATTTATGGTTAGTTAATGAAGAGCTAAATTGAAGCATAACCTCAAAAAAATCTCAGAGCCTAAGGGTATATAATTAGTACCACTTCAACAAAATCGTTATTGCCCTGGGGTTTATGCAGTAGGTTTGGCTGAGAGAGAAGTTATATGTGATAAGTTAAAGCATTAGTTATAATAGAGTAAAAACAATACAATGGTAGGGCATTTTGGCCTGGACTATATGTATTATGTAACAGCTTATTAACAAACTATGCCTCCTGAAACTGAAAATCTCAGGAACTTTGGAGAGGGCAGGTCATGTCAAGGCTATCACAAAAGGTCAAGGATGTAAAGAGAGGGGACTAAAAGAATCCAAGGAGTTAGAGGATGAGCAACACCAAAATATATTGCTTCCATGAATGCACATAGCAAAATGAAAACCAACGAAAGCTGTGTAATAAGGAAGGGTAGTAGGGATGGGGAGAGCATACAGGGTGAGTTAATCTGATTAAAATACTGATTTCCACGTGTGAAATACCACAGTGACATCCCTTTGATTAGCAAATACTAGAAAACTGAGTGATAGGAATGTAAAACAAGTCCTTTCTAGAGTGTAGCTACTAGTGGGAGGGGAAAAGGTGAATGTGGAGAGTGAGAATAGATGTCCAAGGCCAAAATACTGATGTCTATGTGTGAAAATGGAACAATGAAGCTTGTTGAAATTAGTTTGAGAAGGGAGTAAGGGGAAGAGGGAGAATAACAGAGGGAGTGAGTCTGTCAAAGTGTATTGTACACACGTATGGACATGTCAAAAAAGAAACTCCCTTCTATCACCCATTGATGTGGGAAAAATAAAAGGGATTACAAAGCTTAGGCTCAGAGGAGAAAACCCATAAGAAGAAGGTACTCAGGAGTGGAAGAGTTTAAGGAAATAAACTATGGGGGGAAAGGTCTTGCATCATTTGTAACATTTCTATGATGGTTTAATTGTTGAGGTAGAGTGCAGACATTCAATGAACAATCATATATTTTTAAATGAGAGGAAGATACATCAAAGAGAGGAGGCCACATTTGGAATAGCAGAATAAGGCCCTTCAACAATCAGTGCCCATCAAATAGCAATGAGAACAGAAATTTAAAGAAAAGCCTGTCAGATACAACTTCTTCATTACCCTTCAAAGTCTGCAATAAAAATCAATGAGACTCAAAGACACTATGTAAGAAATGAACTTTACAACTTGATTGGGGGGCGGGGGAGAGAAAGGGGGGAGGAAGGGATATAGGAGACAAAGGAGGGGTAACAATGTTCAACGAGAAATGCACTCATTCCCTTATTCATGTAACCGTAACCCCTCTGTACAGCATCTTTACCCTAAAATAAAATAAAAAATCTAAACACATCTCAATAAGGTGAATTTTAGTAAGACCGGTGAGTTTTGTGGTGACACTATTCCTGCTCTCTAGATGTCAGCCTCCTGAGTAGCTAGGATTATAGGTGTGGGCTACCAACACCTAGCTTCTTCAGAGTACTTTATTTTATTTTATAGTGCTGGTCCTGGGGTTTGAACTCAGGGTCCGCATGCTGTCCCTGAGCTTTTTTGCTCAAGGCTAGCATTCTACAGTTCCCCTTCTAGTTTATTTTTTTTGGGGGGGGATAAATAGAGATAGAAGTCTCACAGTCTTTTCTGCCGAGGTTGGCTTCAAATCCTAATCTTCAGATCTTAGCCTTCTGAGTAGCTAAGATTATAGGTGAGAGCCACCAGCACCTGGCTTGGAGTATATTTTAAAATTTCTCAGATAATAAATTATCTTCAGAAGGAACTTCAAATTTAAACATATCACAGGGACAAATAACACCAGTTCAATTGTTTTATTTAAGGAAGAGATGTTAAATATTCCTGCCTGCTGTGGCAGCGTACCCAAAGACAGGAATTTTTAAGACAAGCAAATGACAGAGGCAGCAAGTGACGGTAGCATTAGCCAACAGAACCTCACTATTGAAAGCCTCCCAATGCTCCAGTGACACCTGACACTGTACCGTAAGAGACATCTATCAAAGCAAAAGAGCTGGGGAAGAATAAGAAAGACCCTGGCATATAAGCACAAGGTAACAATTCATCACTCTTGGTATGAAATGTAATAAAAGCCCTGAATATCCATCTCTCAAAAGGGACTGCTATTTCTTAAAATTCGGAGTTATTTTATAGTGCCAGTCAAAAGATAGAGAAAGTGCCCTCACACAAAAAAATACACTGATGGCTATTGTTAGATTAATCAGATGAATCAGAAAATCAGATATACATGAAGAGATACAGAATTTAAAAAGGTCCTCAAATAGAAGCTAAAGAGCACCCACAGCAGAAGGGGGGTGCAAGCCTGGGTGGTTACCAACCTTTGACCATCAGCTGGTAGAACTGGGGTTCTATTGCTCCAACAGCCATGTAGCGCCCATCGGCTGTCTTGTAAGTTCTGTAGAATGGTGCCCCACCATCTAACAAGTTCTGTCCTCGAGGCTGTGTCCACAATCCCACTTGTTCAGTTTTCCACAGAAAAGAACTTAGATATGCTGTTCCTTCCACCTTTGAAGAAGCAGAACACATCATAAATCCAGGCAATTCAAGCAAAAAACAGGTTTAGTGTCTATTGAGGTTTGTAATTGGAGATAACACCGTTTACCTTAAAGTAGATGACCACTTGTATCAAAATCTACAACTTCTGAAGTATTTCCACAACGGGGTTTGACGATAGAATAAAATTGTTCAGGTCAAGAAATGCTTTGAGGGCTGGGAAGGTGGCTCAGTGGCAGAGTGCTTGCCTTGCATGCTCGAGGCCCTGGGTTCGATTCCTCAGCACCACATAAGCAAAAAGAAAAAAGCCGGAAGTGGCGCTGTGGCTCAAGTGGTAGAGCGCTAGCCTTGAGCTGAAGAGCTGAGGGACAGCGCCCAGGCCCAGAGTTCAGGCCTCACGACTGGACCCAAAAAAAAAAAAAAAAAGAAATGCTTTGAAACTTGGAATTACTGTTGTTATTCTCAGGTAAAAGGCAAAATTTGATGACTTCTGAAGCTACATAAAGGTACATGGAAATTTACTATATTATTTTCTGTATGTTCAAACTTGCCATGATAAGAAGTTATAAATACATCAAAGGTATTGTGAAAATCTACCCTTTTTTTTTTTTGGGGGGTCCAGTCGTGGGGCCTGAACTCTGGGCCTGGGCACTGTCCATCAGCTCTTCAGCTCAAGGCTAGCGCTCTACCACTTGAGCCACAGCGCCACTTCCGGCTTTTTTCTTTTTGCTTATGTGGTGCTGAGGAATCGAACTCAGGGCCTCAGGCATGCAAGGCAAGCGCTCTACCACTGAGCCACCTTCCCAGCCCCGAAAATCTACCCATTTTTATGAGTAAAAACAACTCATAAACAATATTCGAAGAAAAGCATTATACTTTATAGGTAAATCACATTACAGGTAACTTTAGCCTATTCTAACTAGATTTCAATCCCAAGAAAACTATATACCAGTATTTAATATATCTTATTTTTAATGATCACTAATAGGTTACTAAATAAGCATTACCAGTATGGATGGCAGGTGGATAAGGCTGCCCACTTAGCTCAAGAATGCTAACTTTCCGCTGAACCGTGCAATAACAAGACCAGTAGTGTCACAGCTATGGTTATTATAAGCTCAAGACCAAAGGCCAGCAGCACTGGCCTCTTACACAGGAAACTTTCTATCCTCACAGGTTTTTATAATTCTCATGATTTTAATGTCGCAAGGAGATGACCATTTTTACATTATTGTTCCTGAGTTTCCAAGAAAAGGTTTCATCTGAGTAAGCATGAAATTTCTCAGTTACTGGCTGTGAGACAAACACAAAGTACTTCTTTGGATTCATCGTGGCTTTTTAAATTGTCTTGAAATCTCAGGTGTGCCTGAACTTATGGTTGTGACATTTATCATCACCACGTTCGTCACTGTGTACATAGATATTACTTAATATCACTTAATGGTACACAGAGCCTGATTTGTACTTGCCTTTGTGTAAGTGGCCTGTACAAGTGATGCTTATTTTTGAGTCTGGATTACAAAAATCTTAACACAACCATATTTTTACACACACACACACACACACAGTGACATATACATATGTCCACTGTTTTAAATATATACTTATGCTAAATTCATAATTAGATGTGTCTTAGACTAAATTCTGACACAACAAAAACTCAGTTCATTTGCTTTCATTACTAAACTTAAAAGGTTCCCCTTTGTCTTTGCAGTTGACATACAAGTTTAAGAACTACTGTTCTACATGAGTCTTAATTTGGGGTTGCTCCTAAAATTCCTAACAAGTTTGTACCCACTATAAACCAAGCTCTTGTTTTCTGCTCAGGTCTGGGCCCCACCACAAAGTCAACTGAGATATAACCAAGTGTACTCAAAGCAAGTAATATAGTCACAATTTTCACAAGAGAGTTCTAAATACTGATTATCTGACTCACATTCAGGTTAAAGACTGTGGAAAGTTTTTAGATTCTGAGTTAACCTTGAACAAATCGGTTCTATTTCATCAATGAAATGCACTGAGCATCACAATGGGCCAAGGAATAAGAGACATAGCAGTACTAATCCTTTCATCAGCTATGTTGAGTGGCTGTGGCTACTCCAGCACTTGGTCCATATTACTCCCCATATCCACCCACATGCCATGCCTACAGCCTGTTGAGAGCTACGTGACACAGGCAAACAGCAACCTCAGTGTCCACCAACATTTTATACCATTTTCATCATGTAAGCCAATGGCCTGCGTGCAATTAACAGTATCCCCAGATCAGGTAGTCTTCCTAGATGTTAGCAAAACTATCCACCCCATATTTCCACATTTGTTCATTTGTCTGTTTTTTTTTCTGACTTTAGTCTTTAATTCTTAGTCCATTCAACAAATACTTGATATAGTATATTTTTATTGTAAAGATACTGTACAGAGAGGTTACAGTTATAGGAGTAAGATAATGAGTATATTTCTTATTTGTCTGCTTTTTAAGCCCATAGTTTTAAAAAACACCAAGCAGCCTTATTAAAAGATAGACTTCACTTCATCCCAGGACTGCCTGGGCCAAAGATTCTGGCTGTTAAAACCCTGGGCTATAAACAGGCACCTACTTCTCCCTAATCAGCTTCTCAAGCACTCACAGCACTAAGAAAGTGGTAAATGTGATGTGCTGCCCTTCTGACCTTGAGTAATTAGCCAGCACTAAAGATCTTCTAATGCCAGCATGCACTCTTAAAAAGCACACTTTCACATATGCTAAAACCTCAGTATCTTCTAATCCTTAAGTAATTCTGATTAGATACCTTCTATATTTGACTACAGAGGATCAATCATATATATTTAATAAATTGTCCATCTGTAACTGGATGAGTATGGAGCCTTTGAAGGTCCCTTTCCTGTTCTTAGCTGATTTCTTTGGGTGGCACAGATTGTGTTCAGGGAGGAAGGAGAGGGACTTGGGGCTGAATCTCTATAGAGCAGGGCTTCTGACCCTTTCAGCCTCCAGCTTTGGAAGAAGGCAGTTAGCCCCTGAGGCCTTAAAATTTTCAAAGAAGCAGCCCCTATGCCCAAGAAGTTGTGTGTTTAAAGGAAGGGAGCCATTAGTGAGACTCCAATTCCTGACTTGGTGGTGCAGTGTGAAGCTGGTGCTGCTGTTACTATTTCAGGCTGCAGCTATGACTGGCCAGGGGCAGCTTCCTGAAATACACTCCATAGATGGACAAAAAAAAAAGATAATGTGGTCTGTACCACATGAAGGCATTACAAGACACAGACACAGGACAGGGTTGAGTATGGTTCATCTGTAAAGAAGAAAAAGGAAGCAATCAGTCACCTGTGAGCTGAGGAGATTTCAAGGTGAGATGGACTTTGCAGTCACCAGTACGTTATTCAATTTGCACCACTCTGTCTTTAAGCTCTTGGGGTATCCACTGACATTTGATCTGACACTCTTCCTCAGCATCCTTTCTCCTTCTTTCTGTGATAACAACATTTCCTTCTGGTTGTCCACTTGGCCTTTCTCAGCCCTGGCTTTTCTTCATCTGCCTACCCACTCTTTACACACTGCTGTTCTGTTCTTTCCCTAGGGGACCACAGTCTCACCTGGTTCCCAGATTCTTCCCAAATGACTCCAAAATCTGCTTTCAGTCTCTAATCTTAACTATCCCACCTGGATATCAGAGAGTCACTTTAGACTTGACATGAGCAAAACTGAATTTCTTTACTTTAGGGGGAAAAAAAAAAAAACAAGTCATAGCAACTAACACAGAGTGCCTGCTCTACTCTGGGCAGTATATACACACTGAACAACGTACAAATTCATTTACTTCTCTAACAATGCTGCAGTATTATTATCTGCTTTGCAAAAGAACTTAAGTTCAGAATAAATGTTATTATTTGTTTTATAAGACAAACTGGGGTATAATCAAATTCCTCTCAAGATCACAGCTAGTAGATGGCAGAACTAGGAGGAAGGAAGTTAGCCGCATGTGCTCCTGACTAGGATCCACCCGCCTCATCCCTCAGCAGTCTTCCCTTAGGAGGCTAGCACAGCCATCCATCAGATCATCAGATCCAGAAATATAGACACCATATTTGATTCCCTACCTCTTCCCTATCTGCTAATCCATCACTAAGTCCCAGTGAATTTATATCTGGAATATCCTTTAAGTCTAGCATTAGATTGGAGATGAGTCACAGAACATACAGAGAGAGTTGACTCAACAGGTGACTGCAATATGACATTCTGATAGTTTGGGCAATGTAAAGTTCTTTTAAAGGAAAGGATACCTCGCTGAGTAGGATTCAAACTTTAAGCCTGGTTTTTCTCTTTTCTTACTCAGAAAACTATTTGAGGTAGCCATGTATCATACTCAAGAACAAGCAGCAGGCCTACTATTGCTCTCAATTAATACTTACCATGTTTGCATCAATGACCTGGCCTTTGCCAGATTTTGTGCGTTCAAAGAGAGCCATCATGATGCCCAATGCACACATGAGCCCACCACCTCCAAAGTCCGCCAGGAGATTCAATGGTGCATAAGGGTTCTCACCACTTCTGCCAATTTTTGACAAGACACCTACACCGTTAAAAACAAATTCAGTGTCTCTTAAAGGAAAATACATGAACTCTTACAGGAATAGCAAATATCTAGTCACTGATCTGAATGAAAGCTAGTACAAAATGCTTTTTAAAATTCAAACTCACACAGTCTACTTTTAAGCAAGCTCTCCCTTAAAAGCATCTCTGTATTTTTTTGTTTTTCAAAATCTTTATCCCAACTAATACTCTCAAATGTTATAGCCAAGTTTTCATTCATTGATTTTGGAGGAGGGGAATAAAAATATTTCTATGAATTTGATTGTGTAGCTTTAAAACAGTATAATGCATTCTCATTCTTACTAAAAAGAGACATAAGAAAAGATTCATATGTTAAAAAGTGATTCATTTTTTTAATTGATAAAAAAGTGAATTTTATATTCACCTAGTTTCCTCACTCTTTAAATGAATATTCACAGAAAAAAAAGAGATTACTTGTAGTCAACAACACAGAGTTCTTACAAGTCTAGAATTAGGACATTCTAAGACACGCTCTCATAGGCAAAAATCCTAATAAAGTAACAGTGGGACCTGAAAACTATGAGCTTTTTCTAATGTCCATAGAATTTGGAAACAATGACTCAGAAAGTAATTCTTATGGAGCAATGTCTGAATTAAACTATATCAATGTTTTCAGACTATATAGTAATCATTCCTACTAACACAGACTTGCTTGTGTCCTTACAGAGGCTTGTCTGAAAACTGACTTCACAAATGTAGTGAAGAAATTTTTCTAGCAAGCATCTATTACCTCTTAAATGGGTTGAGATGGAGAAAAAGCTTGAGAATGACTGTTCTAAGAATCCAAACCGATATTAAACCACCACGCTCTCCTCATTTATTCTGGTAAGTATTTAAACCTTCACTATTAAAAATTTTCATTAAACTATGTAACTGTAAATCATGATTGGGGATATACTTAAAAAGTAGAAAAATTATTTTTCAACATACCTGACAAAGCCAAATAGTTGATGTCATGGCCAGCAGACTTAGAGTAACTTCCTGACTGACCAAATCCAGTGAGCCTGGCGTAGATAAGCTTTGGATTTTCCTGCAGCATAATGTCTGGCCCAAGATGCAGATTTTCCATGACACCTTAAGAAAAATAGAATAATTCTTTTTTTTTTTTAAAGAGGATAAATTGAAGATGGAGATGATTCCTTCTCTAAAGTTACCATAAAATGTTACTCTTACCAGTAATACTACTAAACATTCATTGTAGCTTTATGAAACTTGAAATAGAGGCTCTTTCATTAACCTCTAATAAAAAATAAAGCTGGGGAGTTATGAAGGAAGGTGATCTCATGCACGAATGCCTAAGAAGAACTCTTCACAGAAGACTACCTTATATAACCTTATCTAAGGGCCACTGCAATCTTATACAAATAAAACTTTTGTAGGGACATTTGTTCATCAAGGGCTTCACCTCATATTCTAGTCAAAGATTAGCGTTTTACCGTATTTTATGTAATCTTCATTTTATCTTCAAAAACTTCCCCTTGTGAAAGTAGGGGTGTGGCTCAAGTGGTAGAGCACCGGCCAAACAAAAGCCAAACAGAAAACCTGAGGCCATGAATTCAAGCTCTAGTACAAAAACCCAAGGCCTTGAATTCAAGCCCCAGTACAGGCCTTATGCTTTCTGAACATGGTCAGTTTGCTATTGCATAATATTCTCATTGCAGTGCTCATCTGTTCCCAAATAAATGGTATTTATTTGGAGAAGCTCTATCATTTAGGTTGACAGCTTACAGCAGGTTTCCAGTAGGTCAGGGCCCCCAGAATGAGGTCCCTCCTCTGGAATGTGTGGCTTCTGCCCCTGGATGTGTCTTCTGGCACTGGAGGCATACCCAAGCAATCTCAAAGGAATTTTCTTTTTTTTCCCTTCCCATGCTCACTCTAGTGCCTACCACTTCCTCTCTCATGCTGTCCTTGTATACAGATATATACTCATCTTCCAGGACTGAGAGCATGCTTGTTCCCTGGGTCCCTCAAGTACCTTCACAAAAGTCTCATGAAGTTCCATGGAAAGAAAGATTAGTTACAAGAGCCACCTGAAAGGTCACAGACTATTAACAAGTATATTTTATTGCACAAAACCAAGATAACTGACATCTGAAATATATAGGGATTAAAAGTAGTCAGAATTATCTGGGGATGATGGCTCATGCCTACTATCTTATCTACTAAGGATCAAAGCCCAAAGCCAACCTGGGCAGGAAAGTCCATGACACTCTTACCTCCAAATAACTACTTGTGGCTCAAGTGGTGTAGTGATAGCCTTGATCAAAAAAGCTCAGGGACAGACTACAGGCCCTGAGTTCAAGCCCTAGGACCAACACACACACACACACACACAAATTGTGTAGGATTGGTAGCTCTAATAATATGACAAAACATAGAAGTGATCTAGTCATCCACCAATCTAGATTTTACGAGTATACATGGATCTATCTTCTATGTATCTACTTGTTTGTGTGGATAGGTAGGTAGATGGATTAACTAATACCATTAATAAAAACTATTTCCCTGCCACTGAGGCCTACTCATGATTAAAATTATGGTTGAATTAGCCACTTACAATGAGTTGAACTTCTCTTTCAGCCTACCCAACTTGCTATGTTCTTATTTGTAACAGCAGCAGTATCTTATAAACTTTTTGCCTTTAGTCAAAACCTTTACAATAGTAGCTTCTAGTTCATTACAAGACAGACTACTTAATTATGCTCATTCGCCTTCATCTTTAAATAGGACATTATGATATGATACTAATTGTGCTTCAAGTGCTCAGCTATGGCTGAGGGCTAAACTAGTTGTGCTGACAATGTCTAGTATCCTACTGGAATTCCATTCATTGGCCAAATTTACTGCTTCTCTGCTATCTACTAGGCAATCCTTTGGACTAGTACTTCAACAAGATTACTCCCTTTGCTATCTGAAAATGGATAAAACTCAAATACCAGTTTAAAAGGCTGTAGCAGCATCAAAGTTGGTTGCATTAGAGTGGCAAGAAAGAATTCCAAGGCATGGTAAGGAGGAAGAATGAGTAGCTTGCTATCAGTGCAAGAAAAAGAAGACTGGAGCACAGGATTCTGATTCTGACAGCCGGGCGAATAGCCGCACTCCCTGAGGTCACACTAATACAGAAAGGAGGAAAGGAAGGCCAGATAACTGTGGTTCAGTCTGTAATCCCCGATGATCGGGAATTGGAGACCAGAAGATGGAGGTTCCAGTCCAGGCTGAACCTGGCTGCATGCATGGCTCAAGTGGTATAGCAGTTAAGGACAAGTTGTTATAGTTGTTTATCTGTCTATAAAATGTGAGCAATGGGAATGGATCAGGAGACTCGTGGGAGCCGAAGGCGAAGTAAATAAAATGAGCTTGAAGCTGGAGCTTGGGAAGGCCCAGCATTTAAGGTAGAGAAGGTGAAGCGAGATCCATGGATTGCTTTGGAAAACTAGAGCACCCCAAAAACATACATGATTTGTTCCTACATTGCAGTTTCCCAGCCAGAGAATCTACGACTTCCACTAGATACACCTAAGATTCAGGCGCTCGAATAATTAATAATGGGAGGTAGAGAGACATGGGAGAGAGAAAACAGAGAAAAGAAAGAGGAGGCGGGCAGAGGGAGAAGAAGAAAGTGGGAGGGAAGAAGAGAGAGAGAGAGAGAGAGAGAGAGAGAGAGAGCGCAAAGGAAGAAAGGGAGAGAGGAGGGAAGGGGAAGGGGAAATAGGGAAGGGGTAGCGACGAGTTAGAAGCCAAAGGAGAACCAAGGAGACGGCCGCATCCCAGACTCAAGCTCGGGAGAAGGTCGTGTCAAGCGAGGAGAGTTACAGCACCCGAGATGCCAGCAGATGGCCTAGACGGGTTGCGAAGGGGCCGCCGGGGCCGGGGCCGGGGCCGCGCATGCTCACCGGGGCCGGGGCCGCGCATGCTCACCGGGGCCGGGGCCGCGCATGCTCACTGCGGCCCGCCCCGCGCACGGCCGGGACCCGCGCAAGCTCACCGCGGCCCGGCCCGCGCACGCGCACGCTCACCGTGGCGGAAGGGCTCCAGCAGCACGTCGGCGCCCGCGCACAGGCGCCGCAGCACCGCCGCCCCGCGCGGCTGCTTCAGGTCCAGCACCAGCGAGCGCTTGCCCCGGCCCAGGCGGCTCACGTCGCCCTGGGACCCGGGGCGGTCCACGCGCACCACCTGCGCCCCGAAGTCCGCCAGCACCATCCCGCAGAACGGACCCGGGGCCAGGCCGGCCAGCTCCACGACCCTGACACCCCGCAGCGACATGGTGCCCCCCGCCCCGGAAGAAGACCGCACCCCCACCCAGACCTGGGCCGGCCTAAATAGGCCCGGCCGGCCGGCCGGCGCCGCGCCTGCACCCGAGCCGGCACCAGCGCCGGCCCCTCCGCTCCGCCCCCCTCCCCCCCCCCCGCCCTCCTCCCCCGCCCTCCTCCCCACCGGCGCGTGCGCACTGGCGTGGCGCACTGCCTGTCTTGGCTCCCGAATCCTCCTCTGCTACTCTGCAGTGCTCCACCTTGAAGTGCTCAATTGCACCGGTGACTTAGGGGGCTCAAGCTTGCCACCGGCCTCTCAGGATGCTTCGATTCTCACAGTGACCCCTGGCCCTGGTAGCGACTGGAGAGAAGCGCTGTGCAGAGGTACTTCTGCAGACTCCGCTGTGTGCTTCAGGGTCCTACTGCTTTCTTAGCTCTGCACCCGGATGTGTCATCCAGAATCACTGAACTCCTTCCCAGGTGCACTAGGCAGCAGTCTTAATAGGATATCACTCTTCAAAGATAAATGAGAGTTTTATTTTTTGATTTTTTTGGTCAGCTGACGCTTCAATTTTTTTTTAAGTGCAGAATAGCCCAGCCACTTGTACAAATCACACTTTCTATTCTTGATATCAAGAATATCAAGTTTGGGGTCTGGGAAGGTGGCTTAGTGGTAGAGTGCTTGCCTAACATGCATGAAGCCCTGAGTTTGATTCCTCAGTACCACATACACAGAAAAAGCTGGAAGTGTTGCTGTGACTTAAGTGTTAGTCTTGAGCAAAAGAAGCTCAGGGACAGTGCCCAGGGCCTGAGTTCAAGCCCCAGGACTGGCAAAAAAAAAAAAAAAAAGTTTGTGTGTAGGTAGCCTGATGTAATTTTTGGCAGCTCTAGGAAATTGAATAGAGGTGGAAATAGGTGTCAGAAAAATCTCAGTGTTAAGCTTTTATAAATGAGCAGGTTATATTTTAAGGCAGGTGATAAAACACAAAGGCAGAATCCAGCACAGTTGTAGCGAAAATCTTTTAGGCAAGTGTGAGATACTCTTGATTGAGTTCAAGGATACCTCAGGGCTCTGGGGATTTTCTGGTGATGAGTTGACTCCTACTGTGAACAGGCAGCTCTGCAACCTGATCTTTGAAAGTTCTCCTTGTCTGTCTGTATCAAATGTGCCTTTGATCAAGCCTAATACTCCCTTAATCTGTTGTCCTCCACTAGGCCAAAAGTTTAGGTTAAGTAACAATTGTACATTATCACAATAGAAAGGTCATTCTTCCTGATAAGTAAAACTGCTTAACTTGGCTATGGTGAGTAGTGCAGCAATGAGCAGGGTTATGCAATTGTATTTATTGCACCATGATTTTTAATCTTTGGGATAAATGCCCAAGAATGATATGGCTGGAACATAGGGTAGTTCTATGTTCAGTTTTTTTTTTTTTAAAGAGGAATGTCTAAATTGCTTGCCACAGAGTGTTCACAAGGTCACATTCCCACCAACAATGTATTAGGAGTCCATTCCCCCTACATGCACATCAACATCTGTTGTTTATATTCTTAATGGTGGCTATTCTTACTGGGGCAAAATAGACTCTCTACGTCATTTTACTATGCATTGCCTTTTCTTTTTTATTGTAAAGGTGCTGTACAGAGGGGTTACAGTTACACAGTTACATAAGTAAGGTAATAAGTTCATTTCTTTTTGAACAGTGTTACCCCTTCCCTCATTTTCTCTCGCTTCCCCCCCACACCCCCAAGTTGTAAAGTTAATTTCCAACTTATTGTCTAGTGAGTATCACTGTTGAATTGGTTCACCCTTTGATTTCCTGAGTCACTGGAACACTACACAGAAACCTCCTGTGTCTGCCAATAAATTCTAATGTTTCTTCTATTCCTTCCTGTAACAGTTTCAAGTTTTCAGGTCTTACATTGAAGTCTTTGATCCATTTTGAATTTGATATTAGTATAAGGTAATAATATATGGGATCCATTTGCTGAGAAATGGAGGGATCTGCTCACTGCTGAGTGAAGTATGTCAGGCCGTTAAGTGAAGTATGTCAGGCCTAGAGAGACAAAGGACACATGCTTTCTCTCATATGTGTAAGTCAGATATAGTTTATAAGTATATATGACCCTATACAGGGTCATATGCATATATATACAGACACATTAGCTAACATGCTATATGCAAGGAAGAATTCCAGTGGTGTAATTTGTTTGAACAACTAACCTGCCTCACAAAATGAATACCAGGAAGCTGGAACTTAAGTTGTCTGTGGGTGAGGTAAAAGGGAGGGAATAGACAAATGAAGAGAACGCTAGGAGAATGTAGTCAATATAGTAAATATAAGTAGGGGAACTGGAACTAGAAAAATTGAGAATATAGATGGGGTTGAACAGATGGAGTTAGAATGAGGGGGAAGAATGATCAAGATTCATTAAACTGACATGTTCAATATAAACTCTTGGTACAACTACATAAAGATAATGAGTGTCATAGTAGTCCAGAGAAACACAATATTTTGCACTTAGGTAGATATTTGTCAGTTCTTGCCACATCCTTTGGAATTTACATTTGCACAGTCTAACTTGTTTGAATTTGTTTGAATTTTGTCTTTAATTTCAGCTTTTGTTTCAAGCTATTGAACTATGGATCCTGGGTCTAACTGGTACCATCTTGGCATCTTGATGGATGCCGGAGACTTTCTAAAAACTTAGAGGTGAAATCCTGTGCCGCCCCCCACACACACCACAATGTAGGCTCACCTGAATTCCTAGAGGCAGGGACAAGGACTTGGACTATAGGTTACCCGACCTACCATGAACTCCTGAGACTCTTTGAACGTTCTTTGAACTCTCCAGCTCCCTGTGACCCTGCCCCCTGACCATGACCCTATTTAGGCCACAGCACCTCAGCCATCTTTTGCATCATGCCTTGTGTCTCCTGATTCTCCTCAGGTCATCGCGGTGTCCCTCTTCAGCTGTCCATTAGAGTTGATCTGATTTGTTGAGATGGTTTTTCTGCTCTTTCTTTACAACCCTCATGGCTCAGTTTCGAACAGTATTAAGTGCATGATTCAAGGCTACAGGTTTTATTGGGGACATGTGCCTGCTCGCAGTCACCAGCTTTCTAATAAAGACTCTCAATTCAACCTCTCAAAATGTGGCTTCTCTGTATCTCATCATCAAACTCCCATAAAATACAATATGCTCTTACAAAATTCCTTTACTGTATCAGATAATGCAAAGCACATATATAGTATGTTTTTGCTTGTGCACACATACACAAATGTATCCATCCAAATGAGCATTTACCATAGAGTATGGTCATGACTTAACACGGCTTAAGATGAATAAGCAAAACTAACATGCATTTATTATTCATTTACAATTCTGTAGACAGAAGATTCATTGTTACAATAGTTTTAAACTACCTGAGCTTATGAGGTTTTTTTCTTCCCTTTTTTGAGAACTTTCACCTTTTCACTTAAAGGAAGAGTTTTATGACTTCTTTTTGGTATATGCATACAAGAATTGCCAGTATCATTGCTCATGGTATCTTAATAATAGTTTTTTTTTCATTTGTTAAGTAATATCGGGGTTATACAAACATTTCTGTGAAGAGATAGTCAATTTGAATGAGACAGCTAGTGGCTTCTAGGGTGTAGATATATTGGGCAAAGGGATGATTCTTATTCCTGGAGGATTGAGTAAGACAGAATGTGACCTCATTGTGCTACTCAGTCTTGATATACAATTCAAATCTTAAGCATTGTTTCTGGAATTTTCTCTGTCATATTTCAAAACCTTACTTAACTGCATGCAATTGAAATTTCAGGAAACAAAAGCTCAGGTAAAAGTGGACTATTGGGTAATTATGATCATGGGTAAAATGGTGAGAATATTATTCATTATTTAGGCTGGCTCCCATCTTCCTCATGAGTTATTTTTTTTTTTTTTATCCCTGGAATGAGTTGACAAGTCCAAGACACTTTGCATCTGCTTACAATCAAACCTTGGGTATCTATTAGGGTGAAAACTATAATTAGGCATGATTATAGAAACACTCAAGGTATGTAATAAAGACTCATACACTGAGAGATATTTTTTTTAAAGCGAGTCCTGGGCTTGAACTCTGGGCCTGGGCACTGTCCCTCAGCTCTTCAGCTCAAGGCTAGTGCTCTACCACTTGAGCCACAGCACCACTTCTAGTTTTTTCTGCTTATGTGGTGCTGAGGAATTGAACCCACGGCTTCATGCATGCAAGGCAAGCACTCTACCACTGAGCCAACTTTCCAGCCCTGAGAGATATTTCTTAAACATTGGAAAGTGTAAAAGTAAAGTAACTTCAAAATGGAGCTTTTGGTAGACATAATGACCATCACTGTTTTTCATGACTATTCACATTGTCTACATGAAAAGATTTTGCTTTGTGGCAACTATATGACTTGCAATTATATGACTTCTGCATTTTTTAAAAATAGAAAACAATGCATTTAACAAAGGTGTGTTTATTTCTATGTATGCTTATTACATTTTTCTTGCTGTAGTTTTATCTCAAGCCAGGCCAAAGTCTTTCTATAAGGCATTTATTAGGTAGTGTACATTATTTGGATAGAAAAATCTCTTAGGTCAACAAATAACACTGAATTAGCCATTGGCAAATCGCTTCTGTGAAATATTTATGATATTTGTTCACAGTAAACCTCAACTTCATGACTCCATATGCTACTGAGGAGAAGCATACAAAAATCATGAAAATGTTTCTGATGAAACACATTAGAGCATTATATGTGGATAATAGGAAATTTTAAGCATGTTTGTTTAGATTAGAAAAAAAAGATCTGGATGAACTGAGCCTGGTAGTCTTTGTTTGTTTCTGGAATTGTAACTGAGTTAGCTGATAAGGTAGTTCTATTTAGCTCTCTCTGCCACTAGCTGTCAGAAAACCAAATACAAAAAAAATCCATACTTTAAAAACCTGTGTGAAAATTCAAATTGTTGGCCTCATTATTTAGAGGAAATTAATTATATTTTTCAGATAGACATATCACCATAGCATTTTAAATATGCTTTAATATCATGATAAACAAAAATTGCAATGATACATTCTTTGTCTAGAATAAATGCATTTAGGTACTGAGGGAGAGGGGTAGAGTGCTTTTTAATATGTGAAAGAGCTTGTTTTCAGCACCGAAAAAATATGAGGTACTATCTGAAGCAACATCTTCAAAATTTATGGCATATTCCTATGATATATTTGGGTGGCAAATTTAATCCTTTGAGAATATATTTTTAGATAGACAAAGCCAAAGCCAAATGGAACCTCCTACGATACCTTGTATATCAAACTGCTCTGTGAACATTAAATACAGTAATAAAGGAAGCCGTAAGAGTTCTTTAGTGAATAGAAACTTAAGATATTTTTGTATGTCTCTTGAACAGCATACCCTTATATTTGTATCCTTTGGTCTGGCTGTGCTTAATAAAGTTTACAGCCCCTCCAACATAGCATAGTGTGTGTAAAATATAAATATATCCAAATAACTTCCAAATTTAAAAAAGTACTGTGACAACATCTATCCTGTATCAACCTATACTAGGTTCTGCATCCTGGAGTCAACAAAAAATCTATTACAATCCAAGAAATACCATTGCAAAGAGGAAAAAAAATCCAATGTCTAAATCTCACAATTCTGGATTGTGAGAAGATTTTGATGCCCAAAGTTCAAGCCATTACAAGTAAAAGTGTCATGGCAGAAGTAGCTGTTAAAAAAATAAAAAGGGAAAATCAATTATTTATGAGCATCATCAATACTAAAAGATCTATACTTCACTTAAGAATACTATTACCTACCCCCAGATGTAAAGTTTCACTTCCCACATGTAGTTTCTAGTGCAAGGCCTTTATACATGCCCCAAAATAGGATGATAACTGTATCCTATCCTCTGAAATGTTGCAAAAAATAATGAACTCAAAACTTCAGACATTCCTGAAAATTGATATAAATTGAAACAAGATCACCAAAACTTTTTGCATATGATTTCTCTGTTAAGAATAATTATGTCCAACATGCATCATGGAATAATTCTTTCTTGAGGTGCCTCAGGGAGTAATGATAAAGATAAGATACTGAGTAAATTCTCAAGGTCATCTGGAAAGACTCTTTTTGTGCTTTATTCTCCTGAGTCATCCAACATTATTGGTGTACTAGCAGTGTGACCGGTATTTTTATGCAGACTAAACCCACAACTTCAACATTCCTCAGATCACAACAATTCCAGCTCAGCTACAAGTCTTCCCCAACATGGAGCTCTGCTCTTCATCTGTTTATTTAGTTTCAAAGAGCAGGAAGCCTGCAAAGGTGGAAAATCGTTGGTGGTCCCCATGGAGGGCACCATTGCCCATTCGCAGCCAAACCTCATCCCCTTTGGCCAGCTTCAGTACTGCATGATTGCTGGATGTATCTGATTTCCCCTTTGTTTCATAGCTGGAAAGAAAAAGGAAGCAAAACGACTTAGTTTTTGCTTTCACCAAAATCTCTGCAGGCTTTCTTTCATGCATTTAGGTATGGTTGTGTGGTTTTCTAAATAGCATATGAGCAGAAATAACACATGCCCTTCCTATTGCTCACAAACACTCCTTCTTGTTCCTTTACAACTACCTGACACATGAATGACAATGATTCAAATGACCATGAAATCCATAGGTAGAAGTCTGGTGGGTGGGGGTGAGGGGTGGGGAGGTGTTTGTTTTTGTGCTAGTAGTGGGACTTGAACACCAGGCCAGGGCACTGTCCTTTAGCTTTTCACTCTAGGCTGGCACTCTACCACTTGAGCCACAGCTCCACTTTGACATGTGGGTTCTTGTAGACTTCTTTGTAGATGATAGCTCTCTTTCTCTTACCCCATCTCACCATCCACTTCAAACTACCTGCCCTGGACTGTCGTATGAGAAGGACGGAAATCTCTACCCTGGTGGAACCATTACATTGAGTCTTTATTACAGCAGTTATACTTCGCCTAACTAATCTACAATTTTGTACTCTGGTAATTAGCTCAAGGTGTCATCAACCTGCTGATACTCAGATTCATCCTATGATAATGGGTTTATGGAGGTTCACATTAAGTTCCATGCAAGTCAGTGGACTTTCTCTGCAACATAGATGAAACCTGTGACAGGAAAGACCACCCACCTGTACATGCTGAAGACTGTATTACCGTTGTGCATAAGGTACACATATACCTCCTCCACATCCTCGTGCTTCATCATGCTGAAGGTGAAGAAATACACACCTGAAAAAAGGCAAGCGTTTACCTTCATATTTATAAATGCGTTATACACAGAAGATCTAAAAAGAATGTCAAATGAAGTCACACTTCTTATGTTCTTTTTTATTGGTGTAAGTTAACTGAACAAAGGAGTCTCATGGTCATATTTGCACACATTTAATGTAATCTAATAAAAAATAAATCCCTCTTACTTTTTCTTAAACCCTTACTCCCTTTTAGGATTTAGTGGGTCTCATTATGCTGTTTTCACACACACACACACACACACACACACACACACACACACACACACACACACACACACACAATGTACTTTGATCCCTTCACCCTCCTGTCCCCCTCTCCTCTCTCTTCTTCCTCCTACTGCTTCTCCCCCAAATTGTCCCTTTTTGTAATCTTGACAATTTTTCTTTTAAGATCTAGATTCCACATATGAGATATATGCAGTATTTGTGTTTCTGAGCTTGGCTTAACATGATCTTAGTTCAATCTACTTTCCTGAAAATGAAATTATTTCGTTATTATTTATTGTGCTGGGTAATACTCCATTACCACGTGTTCTTTAGCCATTCATTGGTTGTTCAGTTCCTAAGATCCTGTAGCTTGGCTCTTGTGGATAGTTTTTGGCCTTTATTTATATAGGGATCCCTTTATTCTCACCTTCAAAGCATTTAAAAAATTGAAACTTGCGTAAAGACAAAGTTTTTTAAAATAATTTTTCCAGGGACCCCTAAGGCCAGTTTACTCAGATAAACATCATATCAGAGTAACGGCACTAACTAAGGAGCTTAGTCAAGCTTTCTCAGCTTTCCCTAATAAGATTTACACAACGTCTTTAAAGGAAGATGTCTACCTCACCTTAGCTGTGTCTTGCTCACTGCCTTGTCCATGATGACAAGATATAGAGATCTGTGGGTCAGCTCAAATAAAAGGATAGATTGGAACATATAGTAAATGCTGCATATATTTAATGAAATGCTTTTGGTCATTTCTTATATCATTAGTTATAAATCAGTGAATTTAGCAACACATCATTGTTATTAATTCTGTAACTTATTCATCTGAAAAACTAACATTTTTTAAGATGTGTGTTTTCTTACAAGAATCATTCATTTCCATTAAGGAATGGGAAGCAGTTCAGTATAACTCAATATGCTTTAAGTGCCAGCATAGAAGTTTTTTCTTCTTTCATTGAATGACTAATAATCCAATAACATACACACTAAAAGAGAAATCCTCTCAACTCTTAATTGATATTGAAGTTGAGAGTATATTTTGCAAAGATGAATAAATGTAAGTCATCAAGCTCTGAATAATTTCTATGTTATTTTTAACTACTAGCCTTGCAAGAGAGAAACTCAGAAATATCTATTTTTTAAAAAAAGAAAAGAAAGCGGGAAGAAGCATTGCATGACTCTATTTCTTTTTAAAGATACAACTGAGTAACAGAATTATACCATCTAATTGTGAAGTAAGTCAAACCAAATAACAATGCTTTCTATTCCATGTGCTGGAAACAAAGAATAAGGGATCAAAATTAGTCATTTTATCCATATGCCTAAGATTGGCCCATAGATTAAAAGGTAAAACAACTTAATAAAAGTACTTCAAAGGGTTCAGTTGTGAGTTTTAGTAATTTACAAATTTTCATTTTACATGTATACACACATAACAATTTTCAATGTCTTAAAAAGAAGATAAAAATGACAGGGAAAATAGATTGTTTCCCCTCCTCCAAAAAATAATGAATGCTACAAAAGCAGATTACAGAAATCATTCAGAAAGAATAAACTAAGAAACCAGAAAATGAATAAACAAAATACCTATAATTGAAAATACAGAACTAGATGAGCATGCGACAAGATATGCTGAAGGCTCACACCTGTTATCTAGCTACTCATGAGGTTGAGGTCTGAAGATCACTGTTTGAAGTAAGTTAGAACAGGAAAATCTGTGAGACTCTTATCTCCAATTAATGAGCACACATCAGAAATAAAGCTAGCACTCAAGTGATAGAGTGCTAGCCTTGAATGAAAAAGCTAAGGGACAGCACCCAGGCCCTGAGTTCAAGCTCAAGCTTGAACACACACACACACACACACACACACACACACACACACACAGAGGTGTTGAAATCCTTGGCAACATAAGTGCACTAGGGTTGTCGGCTGTTGGCCCATTGTATTGCTTTAGTTAGAAATATCAGCCTTCTCTACCTCAGCCCCAGATTTGAAAAGGATGAGTTAACCATTTTGCAATCTGTTGTGAGGTTTAATCAATGAATTACAGAAATCAAGTGGCAATTGCTTCATCACAAGGACATCCAACCCAAGGCCAACTAAAATGCTAAATATTTAGACTTTGAATACAAAGCCACTGAACTCAATGAAACCATTTGCCAGATATATATGCAGTTATTTAACAAATAAATTACAGAAAAAATATAAACCTTCAGAGCAGAAAAATCACAGAAGCATGTTTAAAACTGATTGAAGTACATCAGAAGAACACATCTGTCATCTAACAAGATCAGTTTATTTTGGTTCACATTGGGTAGAATAACCAATCCAGGGAAGCATGAAAGCATTTGTATAAACCTAACATGACCAATGCACCTATTCAGAGAAACAAGGAAAAGTGAAAAATAAAAAAAAAACTGTTTAAAGTATTGATTTTCTACAAAACTAGGATACTGAAAAAAACAAACCAGAAAACTTCAAAACTACATGTTGAGTACTGCAAATTGGCAGAGGACAGGCTGAGTCATTTGCCAGCAGCTTAGGGGCTAGATGAGGGTTCTGAGGATAGAGGGCAGCAAATGTGAGAACCAAGGAAAATGTCATGATGGAAAAAGACAATTCTAAAGTGAAGATACTGAATAGATGCTCCCTTGAGCAGAACTGAGATACAGCAGTTGCTGTCATCAGTCTTTGCTGGGGGAAAATGTGTAGAGTATGAAGAGTTTCTACAGAGGCACTGTGATACTTTTGTAAATTATTTCAAAGTAAACAAGTTTTAAGCAGATTTTCTTTTTTTAAGCAGATTTTTTCTTTTTTCTTTTTCTTTTTTGTGCCAGTCCTGGGACTTGAACTCAGGGCCTGGGTGCTGTGTCTGAGCTTTTTTTTGAGCCACACCTTCATTTCTGGCTTCTTTCTTAAAGTCTTGCTTTCTTTCCTTTCTATCTTCCTTTCTCTTTCTTTCTTTCTTTCTTTCTTTCTTTCTTTCTTTCTTTCTTTCTTTCTTTCTTTCTTTCTTTCTTTCTTTCTTTCTTTCTTTCTTTCTTTCTTTCTTTCTCCTCCTCTTCCTCTTCCTTCTCCTCTTCCTCTACCTCCTCCTCCCTCCTCCATCGTCTCCTCCTTCCTTCTCCTCCTCCTGCCTTCTTCTCCTCCCCCTTCTCTCCTTCTTTCTTCTTTTTTTGGTGGTTAAATGAAGATAAGAGTTTCAGAGACTTTCCTGCCTGACTTGCCTTTGAACTTCAGTCTTCAGATCTCAGCCCCCTGAGTAGCTAGGATAATAGGTTTGAGCCACGGGCACTCAGCTTAAATGGCATTTTTAAATTGACCATCTGTCCACGCATTTGAAAGTTCACTATTGATGAGGTCATAGGGAAAAGGGCTCTCCTAAATCTCCATTGTATGAATATATTGATACAATACTTACAGAGAGACTGTTCCCAGGATGTTAGCCTATGATGCATTTATATGTTCAATTACAAAATGAGATGTTCAAAATTAGTCATTACAACTTTTTGTTTGTTTGTTTGTTTGTTTTTGCTGGTCATGGGGCCTGAACTCTGGGCCTGGGTGCTGTCCCTAAGCTCTTCAGCTCAAGGCTAGCACTCTACCACTTGAGTCATGGCACCACTTCCAGCTTTTTCTGCTTATATTGTACTGAGGAATCAAACCCAGGGCCTCATGCATGCAAGGCAAGCACTCTACCACTGAGCCACCTTCCTAGTGCCTACAACTCTGTTTTTAATGACAAAAAAACTAGAAACAATTGAAATGTCTAGTCATAAGGAAATGATTAAGGTACATACTTGTACATACAGCTATAAAATGAAGTAATAATATGTTAAGATATGCAGATTCTCTTTTTCTTCTGTGTGTGTGCGTGCATGAGTGTGCGTACATGTGCACATGCAGGTACTGGGGCTTGAACTCAGAGGCACTGAGCTTTTGTGTGAAATTCTACTGTTCTATCACTTGAGCCACAGCTCCACTCCCAGCTTTTTTTTTTTTGTGGGGGGGGTCCGGTCGTGGGGCTTGAACTCTGGGCCTGGGCGCTGTCCCTCAGCTCTTCAGCTCAAAGCTAGTGCTCTACCACTTGAGCTACAGTGCCACTTCCGGCTTTTTTCTTTTTGCTTATGTGGTGCTGAGGAATTGAACCCAGGGCCTCAGGCATGCAAGGCAAGTGTTCTACCACTGAGCCACCTTCCCAGCCCCTACTCCCAGCTTTTTTGGTGCTTAATTGGAAATAAGAACCTCATGGACTTTTCTGCCTGGGCTGGCTTTGAACTATGATCCTCAGATCTCTGCCTCCTGAGTAGCTAGGATTACTAATGTGAGCCATTGGTGCCTGGCTTGGCTTTTTTTTCTTAACACAAAAACAAAGTTCAGTCAGAATGTAGAGAATGTGTTTTATGTAAACAGGAGAGAAAATATTTGCATGAGCAAACTATTTGAAGTTTTTAAATATGTATCACCCCATTTTAATTATTAAAACAATTGAATCAGTCACCCCTGGTGTAGTGATAAAGTACACAGAGATGACCCAAACTGTGGAACTTATGTTCTGAGGGCTTTCATATCAGAAGTTACTATGCCCTCTCAGGGATGGTTGTCATTGAAATTAAAGTTAAATAATCTTAATTACTACAAATATAACTTGAAAATAGTGTTCTCTTTTCATAGTCTAATACATTTATTTGAACTTCAACAGGTCTATGTGATCTATTTGAATCAGAAAGAATTTTGACTATCTTTTCTTAACTTTGTTTACCTTCCTTCAACCCTTCCTTCCTCTTTCTTCCTGTCTTCGGTCCTTCCTTCCGAGCCTCCTTCCTGCCATCCTTTTATCTTCCCTCCCTCCTTTTCCTCTTTTTCTTTTCTTTCCTCCCTCCCTACATCCCCTCCTTCTTTCCTTCTTTCTTTCTATCCACTTTCTCTTCCTCCTCCTCCTTTCTTCTTTACTCATTTCCTCTTTCTTTCCCTTTCTTGATTGCTGGAATGATTAGTTCAATAATTTATTTTTAATCTCACCTGACACAGGGGCCCCAAATCTACCAGTCATGACATCAAAAAAGTTTCCGATGTTGGTCTCCACACTGCTGAAGATAATCCCACTGTTCTGATTGCTGAAGTGGGTTGCTAGAGAAGCCATGAATGCAATCTAAGAAGACATTAGGGGTCAGTTAATAGACCATTTATTTTAAACAAAGAACATTTTTATACAGTCAAATTTATAATATATACAATATACAATATTATATAATATACAATATTATTTGTAACAGCAACTTTGGAAATAATTTCTACCCTCATCTATGGACAAAGAGGCAATCTCTAAATATTATAAATAACTTTTAATGTTTAGGTTATACAACTATTAGAATGTCCATATGTATCAACAGTCTGAACATGTGTTTCAATGAAAATTACACTTTAAAATGCTTTTCGGACATACGAAAATTGTGTTACCAAATAATATTGAGAAAACTTAGGAGAAATAATCAAATTGTAGATTCAAGTACACTAGCATATTAAAGGACCTGAGAAATCCTGCATTTGAAGTATGTAATTTTGTAAACCTTGCATTCATTTTTTTCTCAAGAGATATCTGTTAATTTCTTTTCTTTTTAAAAGTATATTTTTATTATTTTAAGTAGTTCTACAAAGGAGTTACCATTCAACAAATCAGTTTATAAATGCAATGCATGTGGCTCATGTCACCCTTTTATCATTCTGCTCCTTATCTTCCAACCCAACCCTTCCCCTGAATTTTCTTAATTTCATAGGATACACATTGAATATTGATTCTCCCCACCTTCCTCTCTGTTTTTTTTTTTGTTTATCCCTCCTCTTGGCCTCCCTCCTACACCTTTCAAGTACTGGCTTCCTGGTATTCATTTTGTTGGACTGGGAGTTTGTTTTTCCAAGGCATTGTACCATTTGAATTCTCCCCCACAAATACTTGTTAATTTCTTATGGAATAAATTTCTTGAATATACTTTGAGAATCCTGGATGTTGTATGTAGATAAGGCTAAAAAGTTTTTCATACTTTGCTTGATTAAAGTGTAGCTAACTCAAGATTACTATGACTTGATACCCAACTTCATCAATGTGTCTGTATAGGTAAGAAAATAGAAAAATAAAACCTTCAAGGACTAGGGAGGTGGCTCAGTGGTAGAGAGCTTGCCTTACATGCCTGAGGCCCTGGGTTCGATTCCTCAGCACCACATAAGCAAAAAGAAAAGCACTGTGGCTCAAGTGGTAGAGCACTAGCCTTGAGCTGAAGAGCTGAGGGACAGCGCCCAGGCCCAGAGTTCAGGCCCCACGACTGGACCCAAAAATAAAAAAAAATTTTAAAAAATGGAGCAGAAATCTGAGGTCTGAGAGAAGCAGATAATTCATGAATACTGGCAGCTAAGCCTACAACTAGTAATGAATATTTTTGGAGTAATAGTTTGTGAATCCTTCAAAGCTTCAGCTCTGTTGGTAAAAGATCACTGGAAAGAATTATCTTAAGAAAACTGTTCATGTTTCCAACCAAAAGGGCCTGTGAGTTTGAGAATGGTCTTATCTACTTAGATTCAAAAAACATGAGATGCAGTCTCAGTTCCATTAATTTACATTAATGTTACATTTGGACCTCAAATTTCTCTATCATTTAAGTGGAGAATGAGACACTATTCTTAATTCTTCTACCTATATGGATTTTGTTACTACTGTGATGTTTGAGGTCAAAATTGAAGTTCAAAATACAAAATTTTAATAATTAAAAGAATCTTAGAACAATCCCACCTGTCAGGATTTGCTTTGGCTTGAAGCCACCATTGGAGAAGGAGATGTGAAAGCCAATGTCAGTCTCTTGTCCACAACTGAACCTAGATGAAAACTAAGAGATTCTTTAACATGCCAAGATTATCTGGTTTCAAAGAATGTGAAGTCCCTCAGTCTGCCTAAAACCATCCTTCTCTTTTTTGTAAAGCATGTGAAAAGTAGTTCCCCTAAGTAACTATACTATGGTATTAAAGTAAAAGAGCCAACAATGAAATTTAATGATTGCCAGGATGTTTTCCATTAAACTCTTAACTAACATATAATCATTCACATAATTTGTGTTATAGTTTCTAGCTTTGATATAGTTACAAGCCACCTTAGTAAATGCCTTAGGCTAGCTAGATGTTCTTGCTCTCTCTTACTCTCTCTCTTTTTTTTTTTTTTTTTGGGTCCGGTCGTGGGGTCTGAACTCTGGGTCTGAGCGCTGTCCCTCAGCTCTTCAGCTCAAGGCTAGCGCTCTACCACTTGAGCCACAGCGCCACTTCCAGCTTTTTTCTTTTTGCTTATGGGGTGCTGAGGAATCGAACCCAGGACCTCATGCATGCAAGGCAAGCGCTCAACCACTGAGCCACCTTCCCAGCCCCACTCTTACGCTCTCTTTTTCCCTCTCCCCCTCTCTCTCTTCCTCTTTCCCTTTCTTCTTCCTTTTTGTAAATTTATATTGCCAAATGGATCCTAAATTACTGAATCTACTAAGCATTAAAAATTATAAACAAGTTAAAGTACATCATAGGACAATTTCTTTTACAAGCCTATAGTCCCAGCTCCTCAGGAGGCTAAAATCTGAGGATCATTATTTGAAGCCAGGTAAGGCAGAAAAGTCCAAGAGATTCTTATCTTTAATGAATCAGCAAAATACTGGGCCAATGGTGTGTTTCAAGAGGTAGAGTGCAAGCCTTGAGTAAAATCAAAAGGCATTACAAACCAAGTACTGGCTCATACACAAAATAAATCTTCATATATGCCAAGCAAAAGGCAGATTGGCTAACTGCTCTTACAGGTAGGAATTGTTTTATTAACTTATCTGTAAATTTCTGATGTTACAGGATTTTTCCCAGATACTTTAACCCAAAACTACTCTTCCTGAAAGAAATACTAGCTAGAAACCACCTTAACAACAACAAAAAATATGCTACCTTTCAATATCTATAGCATTAAGTTTAAATATTTTTTATTGTGAAAATACTGTACAGAGGGGTTACAATCACATGAGCAAGGTAATGACTACATTTCTTATCAAGCGTTGTTGCCTCCTCCTTTGTTTCCCCTTCCCATCCCTTCCCATCTCCCCACCAACCCTCCCACCCCCCTCACTCACCACCCCCTGCGCCAAAGTTGTAAAGATTGTTTTTTGAAATAACATCTTGTACATCTCATTGTTGCAATGGGTCCACCTGAATCCCTATTTAAACAATTGGTTTTTTCCTTCCCCTCCACAAATACCAACATCAAATACAGTGAAAACAGGGGTTATACCATGGGGGAGAGACATATAAAGCAACAAAGAAATATCTTATAAATATGTTAGAAACAATAACAAGAAAGAAAAAAGCATTTGAGTCCTTATCTTGGGATTCATTTTGCCTAACATCAAGTCCTTATCTTGGGGTTCATTTCGCCTAACATCAACTTATCTGACCATTTCTACTTGTCTCAGACATATACTAGTTATTGCAAATAAGGGAAACCATGGGACCTATGTTTCTTTGGGCCTGGCTTACTTCACTTAATATAATTTTTTCCAAGTCTTTCCATTTCTTAACAAATGGGGCCGAGCAAGTTTAAATATTATCAAAACAATTGCCCAGACTTAATTGTTCTTGGTGACTAAATTCATATTTATAAGTCTTGGATATTGCAACCAGAATTTTAAAGGTTTGTTAAAAGAATAGATAAATGACATTTCAGCTTGGGGTAAAATATAGAACTGAAACCTCATAAATGGATTCAAAAACATTTCAATTGAAATAATATCTTCTGAAAAACTGAGTGGATGACTCCAAAAAATATTTTCCAAGTGAGAAGAAGATTCTGATGGTATAAGTTTCAATAAACTTGAACTAGAAAATCTGTAAAGATAGAAAACTATATATATATAAATATATATATATATATATCCATTATGTAATTAATTCAAACATGTAATTGTGGTGAAATCATAAATAAATACTATAAATAAACATTTAGCCACTTCATTTATATGTCTGAAAGTTAATATATTCAATATGGTCAGTGTTTTTGTTCAGACTATCTTGTCTGGAAAATAGCCTAAGAGTTTATAGTTGAGGTCAGCTTATATTTGGTAATATGACTAAGTTGGATTTTGCTCTTCATGAATTACTCTCTTCTCTAAGGGCGATCAGTATAGACCTTGTACAAATAACCTGCAATGTAGATGAACACATTGAGACCCAGATTTCTTGAGATTAATCTATGAAGGCTTGAAGCATTCAGACTTTCTGCTTCCTGGTCTCTAGTAATCAAGAAAGTTTAGTTGCCATTTGGAAATGTGCAGAAAGAGAACAGATTACCTGCAGTTCTGGTGGAATTCCAGGGTAACCCTTCTCTCCTTTGGGGCCATGTTGTCCCCGCTCACCTCGAGGTCCCAGGTCACCTTTGTCTCCTTTCTCACCTTTGGCTCCTTCATGGCCAGTGGCTCCATTATTTCCATTGTTTCCATGGTTACCTTACACAAGATATTCATATGAGCAAATCCAGTCACTTGTACTTACCATCTACTTTTAGAGAATCACAGCCATTCTCTGAAAAATATCCAAATACAGCAATTTGTGATGAAGTATACCTATAATACCAGCTCTTTGGGAAGTAGAAAAGACCCTAGGTCAGCCTTGCAAAAGTGTGAGACCCTAGCTGAAAAACAAACTAGGGCAAAATGGTCTGGGGGTATGATTCACGTAATAGACTGCTTGCCTAGCAAGTACAAAGTCCTGAGTTCAAACTGTAGTACTGTGTGTGTGTGTGTGTGTGTGTGTGTGTGTGTGTGTGTGTGTGTGTGTGTGTACAATTGTAAAAGGGGACCATTTGAAAGAATCACAAATACAAGGGGGCATCATCATTGGGTCCTTTTTACTGAGCAGTAAAACAACCTTAGAAAACTTAAGGCTTGACAGCCTGTTTTTTTTTCTATTAAAAAATCTTACATGAAAAATGGTGTGGAAGACCATTTTGCTATTTAAATAGCAAAGATGAGAAATGATAAAATAACCACCAATGTTAGAAGGACTAAATATCTTAGTAAATGATATTATATGGTAATAAGAAAAAGAATGCTGGGAAAAGCACTTAATGGTATATTGATATCTATGATGTTTGTAGATAAAAGAAGGTATGAAAAAATAGGAATGGCATAAATGCCACTTTATTTTGGAACTACATGAATGCACACACATATACTTACATATACACATATACATAGTAAATATAATGTGAATTATATACATTTTATATCCACAGTGCAAACTGTGTTGAGTGAATTATGTAAAAATATTTATAGTTTTCTTTCCAGAAGATGAAACAAGTGATTTCCGTGTCATTCTGTTTAGTTTTCCTTCCCTTTCATGTTCTCTACCAAAGATAATATATCACTTTTATAATGGGAATAAAATTAAACTCACTGATAAAATGTAATAGTTTTGAAAGAAAGACTTAAGTAATGATTTCAGTGCTTCACTTTGCCACTGAGAAATTCTACAGCTCTTGCTTGTTTGATGTTATCTAAAGTTCAGACCATTTCTCTGTTTATTTTGCATGTTACCTTTGATCAGGCATTCTATGAAGCCTGCAGTCATTGTAAGGAGATGACCTTTGTCCATGTACAGGAAAAATGTGATGTGTAAAAGATTTAACCAAGGGCAGCCTGTCCTATCACCTCAGATCTCTTTGTACCTGAGATTTCAGAAAGGCTTGATACTCCTACCACCACCGTCCCTGCTCCTGTGGACTGCTGCCCTTAGTGGGCAATGGCATCCAATCCATACCAGTAATCAAGGTTTTAAACCTGAACTTGAATTCACAGAAGCCTTCCAAAAGAATGAAAAGGTAAACCAAAGTTGAGAAACATTAACATCCATGAAGGGAATTCAGGCAAGAGCAAGTGGCCTTTGGCTGAAGCCTGACAAGAAGTCCTGTTCTCAGTAATTGACTTGAAAAAAGAAGAGCAATAAAACCCTGGATAGTTTGGGGGAGAGGCTCCTGAGAAAGAGGTGGCTAGCATGCCCCTCCCTCAGCCAACCCAGTGTATTAGCAATATCCCAGAATTCCCCTGGACCTGAGAAACCAGAGTAGTATACCAATGGAAGTATCACATATCCCAAGGGTCCTGAAGAACTCTGCAGCATTCTTCATGCTGGAACCCAGGAACCCAGGTATGAAAACCAACAGAGAATCAGTGAGACTGGGGGTGGGAAGACTTAGCCATGCCTACAATGGCACTGAAATATGTGCAGCAGAGAGATAACTATAATCCAGCCCAATAAGCTTTCCCACTACCTGATTCTTTATAAATCTCCTGAAAGTTAGATTGTGGCTGAGGCATACTGTGGCAGAAATACTGGCTGCTACTGTTAAGATGAATGTTCCTCCATAGGCCCATGTACTAAATGCTTGCTCCCCAGGATAGCACTGTTGGGGAAGGTGGTAGAAACTTTAAGAAGTGGGGTCTAGTGAGGCATTATAGATCCCTGGGGGCATGCATTGAAAAGAGTTACTCCAGGCTGGCCAAGGTGTAAGCTTGAGATCCTATCTAAACAATACCCAAAATGAGCTGAGGGCATTGCTCAAGTAGTAGAGCACCTGCATAGTAAGTTCAAGGCCCTGAGTTCAAACTCCAGTAACACTGAAGCAAACAAATAAGTAAATAACTGAAGTGTAGGACCCAATTAAGACTTAATAGTTCTTCAGTCAATGTTTAGTATGAGTCTGGTATAACAGGGTGAAGCTTGGTGGATTCTTTAAATAGCACAAAGAATAATTACTGTTGGATGTATACTATTAAACTTAAGCTGACCTAATAAACGAGGCTTCCCTACACAATCCTTTTTTCTTGCTTGTGCTGGTTCTGGAACTTAAACTTGGGCCTTCTTGCTCATGCTGGGTTTTTTCACCCAAGGTTGTTGCTCTACCACTTGAGTCATACCTCCACTTTTTTTTCTTGTTAATTGGAGATAAGAGTCTCTTGGATTTTTCTCCAAAGTCTGGCTTTGAACTATGATCCTAAGATCTCAGCCTCCTGAATGGCTAGGATTGCAGGTATGAACCTGGCAATGCTTCCATTTTTTGCTTTCTGTGCATATCTTTGGATCATATACAGAAGATTGCAAGTTATTTATTCATTCCAAGTTATTTACCGTTGGCCTCTTTTGCTTGTACAGTCTGTATTCGATCAGCAATGCATCTTGTTCATCCTTACCTGGAATACCTGGAGGTCCGGGAGGCCCAGGGGGGCCTTGGTACCCACGGAAGCCATAGTCTCCGTGACAACACTTGCTGCAATCTGGGGCCATCCCTCCAGTTTGTGGGGGCTGAAGAAAAATAGAAAGAGAAGCTTCATGGAAGGGCACTTGTGAGCTATCAATACTCTTTTCCCTCTGGCCTTGACCCTTAGGCAAGTTTCATATCAATACCTCCAAATCAAAAAAGATCACACAACCAAATCAGAAAAGATCATGTAGGTATGAAGGCAATATCTGTGGCATAAGGATCAGGGAGTAGCTGAGTGGATCATCAAGGAAAATGGCAGAAGGAAGTGAACTGTAGAGCATGCACCTTAAGGTGGGGGTGAGGGGGTGGGGGGGGAAGACGGGGTGTGCCTCTGGACTGTGCCTTTCTGTCTCTACCTATAACAGAAGAGGCAGAAACTCCTGAAGATAACTTGGAAACTTTTTCCCTCTCCCAATACCTGATAGATGTAGCCAGACTGAGATGAGCCTCAAATTACAGGACTATTGCCTGCAAACAAAGCTACTCCACACTATTCCTAATTCTGGCTGAAGAACTGGATTAAGAGTTGATAGAAAATTATGTCTATTTCATCAAATAGCCATAACCTGCTTGACTAAAATTAAAGAGCTATTCTTTAGGCATATACAGTTATTTATTTGCCTATACTGAAATTAAAATTATACATGATTATATTCAACACATAGTTCTGAGAGCTAATGGACAGGTGCATTGCCACACCTACATTTCCCTGTGTTAGGTATATCAAAAATCCACTTGGCAACTTTCAAGAATACAATACACTGTTATGAACTGTATGTCCAATACACTTTTATTGCCTCCACCTTAGAATAATTTTCACTTCTTCTTTACAAGTATTTTTGATGTTTCACATACTCGACTTTAAACTGTAAAGTAACTATCGTGCTACTTGATAATCACATAATGACAACTGAATGGCTACTAAATATGTTCTCAAATAAGACGCCATATAGAATGATCATTTATACAAAGACAGATTGCCAAAGTGAATTCTTGCTGTGAAGGAGCTAGCAATCTGGTGGAAGCTGGTTGGCAGAGGAGTTAGAGTTGCTTGTAAAATCTGGACTCTCATATAAACTGGCAACAGGCCTTTAATTATGTCATATGAAATTCTTGTGGAAACTTTCCTAGACACTAGTTATAACTCAGCAGTCTTCTGAAAACAAAGTACTGTTGCTAAGGAATTCATTTCTCAAAAGAAAGGAGGAGAGATGGATAAAAAAGAGATAAAAGAGGGGGGAGAGAAGGAAAGAAGGAGAGAGGAAGATGGATGAGAGAAAGGAAAGGAGAAGGAAAAAGAGGGAAGGAGAGGAGGGAAAAGAATTTAAAATTCAAGTTTTCTCCATCACTAGAAACCCAAACAGAAAACTAAATGAAGGCTTCATGTTGTTGAACATTTGAATCTTTTGTTTATTTTTTAATATTTTTACTATCTTTAAGTAATTGTACAAAGGCAACGCCATTCAACAAAACAGTTTATGAACACAGTGCATCTTGATCAATATCACCTGTGTAACAGTCTCACCCACCCCTCCAACCATCCCTTCCCTCACTTTTCTTAATTTTGTAGGCTAGGCATTGAATATTTTACTTCATTCCTTCTTTTTGTCTACGCCTCCCCTGGGCTCTACCCTGCCCTTTTATATTTATTTATTTATTTGTTTGTTTGTTTGTTCTTTTGTTGGTAGTGGGGCTTGAACTCTGGACTTGGGTGCTGTCCCTCAGCTTTTTAGCTCAAGGCTACTACTTGAGCCACAGTACCACTTCCAGTTTTCTGAGTAGTTTATTGGAGATAAGAGTCTTACGGACTTTTCCTGCCTCGGCTGGCTTTGAACTGCAACCCTCAGATCTCAGCGTCTTGAGTAGCTAGGATTACAGGCGTGAGCCCCTGGCACTCGGCTTGTTTATTTATTTTTAAAATACAAATGAGTTTAATCTTTTTCATCCCCTTTTCCTAAAGTTTTTCATGAACTATTCAGCAATATATATATATATATATATATATATATATATATATATATATATATATATATATATGAGGCTAGGAATGTAGCTTTGTGGCAGAGTGCTTGCCTAGCATGCCTGAAACTCTGGGTAGGATTCCTCAGTACCACATAAACAGAAAAAGCCGGAAATGGCACTGTGGCTCAAGTGATAGTGTGCTAGACTTGAGCAAAAGAAGCTCAAGGACAGTGCCCAGGCCCTGAGTTCAAAGGTGCAGAACTGACCAAAAAAAGAGTATAGAAAAGAAACTGTGGTTTAATATCCTCCTGCCTTAGCTCAGAACCCAAGTACTAGGGAGTCACAACTGTAAGTTTAACTCGCTCCTAGTCTTGTCTTCTATCTACCAAGCTCAACCTTGAATGGCTATAGAGTCTATAAAAAATCTTTTCCTCAAGTTGGTAGAGGGAAGAAATGCAAGTAAAGCACTTGGTCAGAGATGAGGAATTTCAGGACAGTTGGAAAATGAAAAAACAGCATGACTCTGCTTTCTAAATCAAGATATATGTTCATCATTTCCTGGTTTGGTTTTGCTAATGCAAAATACAGCTTTTAAACCCCAGGAAGCCTAGAGCTTTGCCAGTGATGGATGGTGGAGACAGTGAAGGGTGGAGAAGGGAAGAAAATCCTAAAGTGGAACCACTTGTGTAAGAATAGCATGGAAACACTGAGATGCTTAAGGGTATAACAACCACCACTGGCCTGGAACTGAGTTCCATTCTCAGTTTTGCGTGACCTGAGAGAAGTCTCCACTGTTCCCAGACACCAGTCATCTTGTTTACTAAATTACACAATTAGAAGGGACAATCATGATTTTTTGCCTCCCACCTCTAAAATGTAAAGAAAACCTCAAAAAAGAAATTTAAATGGTGTGTGTGTGTGTGTGTGTGTGTGTGTGTGTGTGTGTGTGTGTGTGTGTGCTGTACTGGGGCTTGAACTCAAGACATACATTCTCATGTGGCTTTTTTACTCAAGGCTAACACTCTACTACTTGAGCCACAGCTCTATGTCCAGCCTTTTGCTGGTTAATTGGAGATGAGAGTCTCATGGACTTTTGTGTACAGACTGGCTTAGATCCTCAAATCTGTCTCATGAGTAGCTAGGATTATGGGTATGAGCCATTAGCACCCAACTATATATATAGAGAGGGGTGAGGGAGAGAGAGAGGGAAAGAGAGAGAGTGTGTGTCTGATCACCAAGAGACAAATGTGTTTGTGACTAAAGTTACCAAATCCTTGTGGTGCATGTGCAAACTACTTGGAACCACTTCAAGGCATAAAGAGCTGTCACCAATACAGTGAGAAATCTCTGGTTATCCTAGTTGAGCACCTCCCAAGAAAACTCCTGCGTCATTTTCCTTATATGGTCCTCCTTCTGACCTTCTCTTTCAAAGTTCAGTCCAGTAGAACAATTCTAGTAAGGCCTTGCTAGACAAGTTTCATACAGGTTTCACACTATGTGTTGATTCTGAAGTTTTAACATATGAGTATCTGTGCCGCTCTCACATTTACTATCCCCTTTCCCAAATCAGGTAGAAATTGTTCACTCAAAGCATACAAATGATGAACATGGGAGGAAAGGGGTATCTCACTGGGGTATTTCACAGATGGGGGCCTGGAGGCAGTTACTCAGAACCCAATTCTACTATTATTGGCTTCAAGAAAAGGGAGTTCGTTTGTCATTCCTTCTCCAACACAAAGAAGATAGAAAGAGGAAGGAAGGGAGGGAGGGAGAAAGAGAGGGAGGGAGGAAGAGAGGAGAGAGAGAGAGAAGGGAGATGGGAAGAGAAGAAGTAAGTAATCAGGAGACTGATAACCAAGAGACTGATAACTGAGATTGACAGAGAGGCTATAGAAAAGAGAATATTGATCAGTATGTTAGTCTGATCCACCATGAACTTCACAGCCATCTTCTTTCTAGAGCAAGTATCTGATTATCTCACTACTCTGCCGTGAAAGACAAAGAAAACACTGGAAACAATGTAAAATTTAAGCTCTTTGACAAGGCAAAGGAAACTTTTCCTGTCTGACACTCACATCTGATTTCTCCCCCCACAGTTCTGAGCCCAGCTTCGGAGAGATTAAAGCCCAGCCACACCCAGATCCTCAGATCCTCTCTAATCTCTGCTATGACATTTCTTTTTAATCTCTGCTATAATAAACACCTTTCATGCCACATCTTTTAAGATTTGGTAGTTTTTGGTTACTGTAGCTTTGGTCAAAACTAACTACTCTATTTTTTTTTCTCAGCTGCCTCCTTTACATGAATCTTGATTATCATATCATATTTAATTATACTTAATTAATTAAATTAGCAATTATCTCCACTACAGCCCTAAAGATAAAAGGTTGTGTATATTTATATTCTTGATCCCCCTTCTAAAAGCTTGGTACAAAGTATAAGCCAAGAATGTGGAACAAGAAGAACTAAGGTAAAGGATGAGGATGGGGAGGAGGAAAAGAAGGAAGAATGTAGAAGAACCCTGACATTCAGTGTCTGTGCCTATAATCATTAGGAGAGAAAGTGTATTGAAAGCTTCAGGGACAGCAGTGGCTCTAAATTTCCTGAGTATATCTTACAGGGACTTTGGAACTAATTCAGAAACTGAGGATTAGAAAATGAGGCAGAATAGAAATGTAATTTGGATTCAATGGCATGCTGGGTATTGGCTGCCATGAAACAACTGGCAAAGACAACATATAGGCTTTCTGCTTCGTCTGGGTGCTTACAACCAAGAAGTAAATCATGTATTGAAATGGAAATTCCAGATCAAGACCAGGACAAGAATCGCAATGTCTTCACCAATAAGGAAAACACAAATTAGCATTAATTACCTTTCAGCCAGAAGACTGTCCAAGGCAATAACTATTTCTTAAAAGTAAAATTCTATTTAATCTGTTATCATTGTGTTTCTTCTCTTTTTCCCCCTTAACACAGCCCCACAGAAAATTCTGGGAAATTGGGTGTTATAGTTCAGTTATGAGTTTCCTGTCTTCCCAGCCCAGCAGTTGATTCTATGTGTGATCCTGACCTGATCACATAAATCGATAATCCAGATTTCTCAATCTGTGGTAGGGCAGGTTTAGATTTCAACCATATGAGAAAGAATAGGGCCTCTAATGCATAGAAGTCATGAGTTCTTGAGTTCCTGCAAAGGCTACTGGTTCAAAGATTATATAATTCCAAGTAACTCTTCTTCCTTGTATTCCTCCACCTCATCTGATTTCAGCATATTGACATTCTTAAGAAGTAAGTCAAAATCTATTTCTACTTGTTTGTAGTATTCAAAATTAAATTCAGCTTCACTGATCTGCCATTCACTAAACCAAGTCCTTAACTCTCTCCTGCACTACTCTAAATTAGCTATTGGTATTTCCCTAGATGTTGAACTTATGCCTACAGAAATAAATCCAGTCCATTAAGATCACTGGACATTGAATTATACCATATAGTTTGCAGTTTAAATATGCAATCTTTTAAAAAATCCAAAAGCCCTCTTTGATTCTGTTTTTAAAAACTGAGCATAGATATCAGCCATCTAGGATACTATAAATCAAATAAATAAAACAGCATGAAACGTTACAGAAAAGTCACAAATCAAAAATAACTCTTTTTTTTTGGAAATTTAGAGGGTAACTTCTCCATGTTGTGAAGAGAAAGTTGGTTTCTCTTCATGACTGAGCATAGTATTATCTACAGCCACATACCTATCTGCATAAGTCGGCATTTCAGAGCAAGAACAAAATCAGTTTCCAGAGTAGCAAGAAGTGGTCTCTGGTTCCCCTTTATGCTGAGAAGATGCCATAGCTACCCTATCTTAACACTGCCAGAGATTGGGAGTCCCTCTTGTTTCCCAGAGCAACCCCCAAAGAGACCCACAAACAGCTCCCAAGCATTGATCCGAAGAATCTGTTAAAACAACAATAACAACAATCATCAAGCTTTCACAGAAATCCTTAGAAGAGAATTCAGAGTACCTGGCCCCAGAACGGGGTGATCTGGGCTAAGTCATCTACCTCGGGGTGCGGTAGCTCATGTGGTCTCAGGGGTTTTAGGTCTGTAGACGTGTTATTATCCACAGTCCCAGTTTTAGGATGGCTCTGCTCTCTCCTGGAGCTGCTAAGGCCAGTCTGCTGGTGGCTCTGCACTATTCGCGCCACCACGTTATTAGCTCTTCTGCTCACCTCCATGTATTCATCTTGACCCAGGCAAAATGGGAGGAAAAGCAAAGCCAGCAGGTGCCAACAGACGAACTGCCTCTGAAGCATGATTCTCAACAGAGCCACAAGAGCCTCCTTGGGAAGATGACAGGGTCTCTAGGCGCTGTGGTCTCCTCAGGAAAATGCCAGAGCTGGTGATGAGGACTGCAGGCAGCTGGGTGGTTTTATACTTTGGTGTGTAATAAATAAGGCTGAGGCACGCCAGGGTGACAGTAACCCTCCTCCTCCTCAGACAGAAGAGCTCCATTCATCATTTCCCCACACCACAGGCAAGATGATTGGTGTGTGCACAGCTCCCAGTTGGTGGGGTTCATAAATGTCACACCTTGGCACGTTTTCCTTCAAGTGTGAGGAAAACATACACAACCAGCTGGAAACAGACAGCATGTGTCCAGTGCTTTGCTTTCATGATTAGACATGGAAAGGCTGTGCATTGGCAGTCCAAAATGCCTTTTGGAAAAACCTCCCCTTGGTGCTTGCCAGGAAATTTAGGCTTAACTGCTTCAATTCCTCCCAAAGTGGCAGCAGGAGCTCATTTCAGTCAAACAAGAGAGTTCCTGCTTTTTAAATACCCCGCATTCTAACTTCTGAATCCCTGCGGCACTATGTAGTGGCTCAGCTGAAACACTGATTTGAATTCAGGTGCTGTGGGCAGAGTGAATAGAGGTAGTTCCCCTTTCTCTAGGCTTCATTTCTTCTCCCCTAGCATTTCCAGAAGCCAGAATTAATGAGGGCCTGCTTTCCAAGTGGAGCTATGACCCACTTGCTTACTGTAAGAAAAATTAGTCTGTTGTTACTTGTGGCATGTTCTAGTTTAAACCGAGGAATTGGGGTGGATCAGGTGGTAGAACGTGTGTCTAACAAGCACAAGGCCTTGAGTTCAAACTCCATCACCACCAAAGGAGGAAAAAAGATCAAGAAACATGGAAAGCGCCAAGTCAAACACACCATTCCAAGAATCCCAGTGTTAATAACATGATCATTCCCTTTATTTTATTTACTATAGTTTAGTTAGTTCAGTGAAGAGCAAATGGACATTCCTAGCCTCTTCATTATAATAACATGAATTTATACAGCATTGTCATTTTACACTCATTCACTTATTTTTGATGAAAGTTGGCCCTCTCCCCACAAGACCTGAGGAGGTCCTGGAAGTTTAAAAAGGATGAGTGATGATAATAATAAAGAGTCTGATAATAGGTGGATAGGGGGGGTACTGGAAGAGAGCTGAGACAGAGAAACAGAGTCTGTGACCAAGAGACAGAGCAGCTGTGGAAACAATAAGGAGTAAGCGATCTGCTCACAGCTGCCCTGGTCACTCAGTGAAATGCCTGACAACCAAAAGCTGTGTCCTGAACTGGCCCAAACTGGGAAAAGCCAGCATGGTCATCCTGCCACTCGCAGCTCCAGCAGCTGCTTCAGAATCACTTTAACCGAGAGGGATGGTGATGGAGAAAGTTATTCTGTGAAATAAAACTTCCCGGGCTACAGCAGGGGATTTGAGTCATGCTTAATCCAGTAGACAGTCCCCTGATAGTAACACCTGAGGGAAGAGAGTGTCCCCCGTCCTGGGGTCTACATGTAGGGGGTGTCCAAACATCTTCCCTGGAGAGTTATTTGAGTTCTGTGGGAGCACTATTCAAATTCAGGCAGCCTCTCAGGGTAGGGTCTCCCATGAGGATTCCTTCAGAGAGCTGGAGCTGGCCATGGTGAGCACAGAAGCAGGAGCTGGGAACGCACTAGTGGAGATTTCTAAGCTAGGGGAAAGAAGGAAGTCCCAGGGATGCATCTCAGTGAGATACTCACTTCTCAGGGAAATCTGAAAAAAAGAAAAAGGTCACAGTACAAGAAGTGGCTTGGAAAACAAGGTCACCTAATTCAGTTTTTCCTAGCTTTTGCCATGAGGCATCCCAACAGCACGGACCATCTGGCTACGTAACTACAAATTCTTCTCCTCTGACTTCCAACCACATCAGGACTCTCCATGACCATTTCAATCCTGCCATCCATTCTAGTGGTTCCCTATTTCTGCCTGCACATTAAAATAAACCAGGAAATGTCTAAAAATACCAGCATCTGGGTCCTATCCCAGACCAATTCAGTCAGAATCTCTGGGTGTGTAGGGGCCAGGCACCAAGAGATTGTAAGTTCCCTCACATGATTCTAACCTGCCACTAGGGTTAAGAGTCATTGACCTGGCCTCTCCAGAACTCAAAAGCGAAGCTGGTTGATATCATATGCTGCATATGCTGGTTTAGCTCACTGAAAAAAAACAGAATCTCAGAGCAGTAAAATGATTCCTTTGGTTTCTTAGGACTGGAAAGAGGGTGTCTAAATTGGGCTCCAGCTGCTCTTCAAGGCTGTGCTCTCTCGTTTCCCACAAGTAAACAGATGGGTTGACAAGAGAGAAGAGAAGAGTTCTATATGTGACCAGAAAGGCTGTCACAAGAATTATGGGTCCAAGAATGTTGTAGGTTGAATTGTCCCATCCCTGAAAAAAAAAGATGTTGGTATCCTGAGAACCTGTATGACCTCTTTAGATATAGTCTTTATAAATGATCAATTTAAGAATAAGGCCATTAAGATGGATCTTAGTCCAATATGCCTGTGTCCTCATAATGGAAAAATTTAGACAGGCATGTGCACAGCAAGAACACCATGAGAAACTAAGGCAGAGATCAGACTGATGTGCTTATAAACTAAAGAAAGTAAAAGGTTCCCACCAAAGTCCAGATGCGAAGCAGAGGCACAGAACAGATCATTCCCCCAGAAGAAATCAACTTATCAGCTCAGATGCCACCTTGATGTCAGACTCTGGTCTCCAGGAATTGAGGTGGTAGCAATGTGAATACAGACAGTATGTATGAACTTTTAAATTAAAACACAAAACCTCCAGATAGGATCACTAACTTATTGTTCTATAGCGGAGTAGGGTAACTGAGGTTGACAGTATTTAATTGTACATTTCAAAATAGCTAGTAGAGAAGACCTTTTGTGTTCCCAACACAAAGACATCTTAAATTTTTCCATGATGGGTATGCCAGTTACCTATGTGATCATTACACAATATGTGTTTGTATTAAAATTTTATTCTGTATCTCATAAATATGAACACTTACATATCCAGGTACTAGTGGCTCACTTTTGTAGCCTTAGTAAGTCAGGAGGCGTAGAATTGGAGGATTTCAGTTTATATGGGACAGAAAACTCTAACTCCATCTCTAATTAACCAGCAAAATAATGGACTGGAGGCATGGATCCAAAGATAAAACACCAGGGTCTGGGAATGTGGCTTAGTGGTAGGCTACTTGCCTAGCATGTGTGAAGCCCTAGGTTTGATTCCTCAGTATCATATAAACAGAAAAAGCCAGAAGTGGTGCGGTGGCTTGAGTGGTAGAGTGTAGCCTTGAGCAAAAGAAGCTCAGGGACAGTGCTCAGACCCTGAGTTCAAGCTCCAGGACTGGCAAAAAGGAAAAAGAAAAAAAAGATAAAGCACCAATTGTAAGCAAGAAAACCAAGCAAGAATATGAGGTCCTAAGTTCTATCTACAGTACTGGCATAAAAAACAATAATGAAAATTAAACCTCAAAGTATACCATATTGCTCACGTTCATGGAACCTGAACTTGAGACAGAAAAAAAGGTAAGTCAAGGTCCCCAGTCTCTCAGTAAGGATCTCTTTTACTTTATGCCTGTACTTTCCCATTAACTACATTTTAAGCCATGATTTATTGTTAAGTCTTACTTAGAATTATCACCCCATGCCCTGGAATGCCCTGTTGTATATGGTTTCTAAAAATGTGAACAAGTGTTGAACATCACTCTTGCCTGTGGGTTAAATATTGACAACATCTAATCTTCCAAGTCCCAGGAGAGGATAGAGGCCCAGTCCTGCACAGCTGTCTCTAACAGCCAATATGCACAGAGGCTGCATCAAGCTCCTATGCTGCATAGGACTGCCTCTGCCCCAAGGGTCCAGCTAGGAGGCTAGCCCAGCAGGAGCGCAAGCAGTGAAGGTACAGATACATAGGAATATATGTGTCAAAACCCAGTTCCAAGGCTCAGCTTTACACGCTAGAGACAAATATTTGTTTAGCTTTACAAAGAAGTCCATTATGAGATGTGTAGGTCCTTGTGGCCTTCTTGACATTTCTCAAGCATGGCCTGGGCCAGAGGAGATCAGCTCTGGTCTGGCAAGAGACAGTCAAGAACTGTGTTGGGCTGAACATGTCTTTATATCACTGCCAACTGTAGAGTCACTAAAGAAAGCAACTGTTGGATGGATTTTTCAGAAGCAGTTCGAGTGTGACCCACCTCTTCCCTACCCCTTCTGAATGACAAATGCCCTCTGTATTCAACTTGATGAGTTCTGAGCTTCAAAAATCAAGTCTTGATCCCCTTTGATTTAAGAAAAATTAGATTTATTCAGATTTAAATTTAAAATAGTTTCCCAGTCAAACTTGTTTATCTGGATTGGTCATTTATATCTAAATGTTGAAGTGTCTTTCAGTTTTTTTGCAGAGAACCTTAATTTGGAGAACTGAAAGAAATTTGTTTTCAAAGTGGATATTGCCACTTTGTGGGTATTACCATTTGAAGAAAAACGTGACCCACGCTTGCCACAAATATGGAGTAAAATCAGGAGAAGAGATGAGAGGAGGTGGGTCATTGAGCCAGCGTATTTCATCAGTTAGTAGAATTACTAACAGTATGGACTGACTCTCATTAGACAGGTGCAGAAAACTCAGTCAGTGTCCCAGGAATAGATTTGTCTCCAGGGCAAAGCATCCTTCCAGAAGGTGAATTACAAAAGTTGACACTCAAATATATTCATTTATAATGGCACATGTAACTCCCCAGTTAAGTAGTTAAGTTATGCATTTGCTGAGCAGCAAATTCTCTCTATAAGCAAATCCATATTAGAAGTTAAATTCTAATCAGTTTTGTGTAAGTATGATTATATATTTGCATGAGAGAGAGAATTTGTTCAGTAATATTAATGGTTGATATCATGAAGTATTTGTGGCAGAGTACAAACAGGAAAAAAAA